CACAATAGTAGATATGATAATCGTCTGAATTGAATTCACCCATTCCCATCCATTTTAGTTCGCTGACACCCAGGATGTCAATGTTTATTCTTGCCATCTCCTGTTTGACCACATCCAGCTTACCAAGGTTCATAGATCTTACGTTCCTATGCAGCATTTTTTCTTTGCAGCATGGAACTTTCCTTTCATTCCAGGCACGTCTGCAGCTGAGCCGTCCTTTCAGTTATGGCCCAAACACTTCATTAACTCTGGAGCTACTTGTCCTCCGCTCTTCCTCAGTAGCATGTTGGACATCTTCCAACCTGAGGGGCTCATCTTCCAGCGTCATATCTTTTAGCCTTTTGTTTCTGTCCATGGAGTTTTCTTGGCAAAGATACTGGAGTGGCTTGCCAGTTCCTGCTCCCGGTGGGTCACGTTTATCAGAACTCTCCACTATGACCTGTATGTCTTGGGTGTCCCTGCACGGCATAGCCCATAGCCTCTCTGAGTTACTCAAGCCCCTTCGCCACGACAAGGCAGCAATCCGTGAAGGGGAGTTGAACTTATAGCAACCTTAATAGGAGTTCCAAGGTAAGTGAGATATTTAAGGAGTGGTTTTACTATTTCCACTTCCCCAGTGAGTTTCCATTGCCAAGAAGGGATTTGAGACTGGGTCTCTTTAGTCTGTCACACTCTCTGTCCACTACAGCACACTGAGTATCACTGATTTACAAACGTATTTGTATGTAATTTAAAGTATGGGTTTGGTTTCCAGTGTACAGAAAAGTGGCTGAGAGCTCCATGGTTTTCTGTAGGAGATCGCACCATAGGTTTCTTTGATATGCCTCATCCCCACACCTTTGAGAGGTGTTTCTTAAGGGTGTGGATATGTGGCCCCAGGCCAGCCAAAATTGTCCACTCATGTACCAGAGAGTAAATTTAAATTCCCCAAAGACACAGCTGAATGCCTTAAATCCCCATTTAATTTTGGTGCTCTTGCCTGAATGTTATTTTGGTCCAATTATTCGTGCTTTTATGGAAAACTAAGCCAATATTCCTTGTTATACTTGGTTTCTCTTTAATGCTAGGTACTTATCAGCTTGCTTTCTTGCTACTGTTATTCAAACATCATGGTTTCAGATGGCAAATCTGACAATCAAAACTAAGTTGCTTTCTTTCCTAGGCAACACTGCAACTCCAGTTTTGGATCAAGCTAATGAGCAATCTCTCTCCCAAATTGAAGATGGTGATAAAGTATGTCAGTTATTGAGACCTAATCATCAAATAACCAAAGTCCAGCTGCGCTGTCAAAGGACAAAGCCCGTTGTTCGTCCTGTGAGTTTGCCTCTAGGTCAAATGCTTCCTCCTTGTGTTTTGAATGAGAGAAACACTCGCAATCAAGAGAAACTTGGAAGAAGTCCTGTTATTGAAGAAGTCTCTGAGGCACAGTCACCTCCAACAGTTAATGCTGGCTGTAGACTTTCTTGTTATGACCTACAGACTCTGAAAAAGACTTGGGATAAACAGTATAAGCAGTACGACATGACTGCAAAGACTGCAATGATTGTGACAAACGTACCCCAGGAAAACCGCACACAAGAGTCTGTAAGCACGTGTGCCTTACCTACACCGAGCAATCTTGGTAGCAATTCAGTAAATGCCATACTTCCCAATAAGCCATATTCAATACCTATCAAGGCTGCAAGGACAGCAGTGGAAGGACATTCCCCAGATACTAACCCTCTTGCTGCTGCTTTCAGAACACCAAGGACTTTGCAGCCACCACCAGGGACATTTTATAAACCACCTTCCCACAATAAGGCCAAGGCAAATGAAGAGAGTTCTGCACCCAAACTCTGCACGGCAGAAATTAAAGATGAGAATCCAAAGCTAACGGTGAGTCCTGGGCTTGCCCAGAGTTCATCCGGCTCCTCTAGCCAGCAGGCAAAACAACAGAAAGCAAGTTCTGAAATGATTTCCCATACAGACTTGAAGCCCACTTATCAGAGATTAAGACCAAAGCGGATGCAAGAACTGGAACACAGGGAAGCTCACTTTGTATAGAGCAGGGAATTTTTTCTGGAATGCTTATAGGATTTATCAAAAAGAGGGTTTTTTGTTTGTTTGTTTTCGGTAGAGGATTTCACTGTTGTGCCATATTGGAATTATTTTTATATATACTTGTACAGACTTTTTAAAATATGTAAAAAAGCTGTGAAAAAGTATGAACTTTTGTTTTTTAATTCAATAGATTTCTTATCAAGAGTATTTAAAGGCATTCCAAATATAGAAGCAGCTAATAGCAGGTGCACTAAGGAAACAATAAACCCATAACTTAATTCCATGTGTGGAATTATACTTTTGCTTGTGAAAACCAACTTACTGTGTTTGGGTGGAACAATGAAAGGAGCCACTTTTTCAGAATAAATGATTTATTAAGACTGCAGGATATGATATGCAGCTACTTAATTTAAGAATAAACCAAAGCTTGAAGCATTGCTGTAAGTGTCCATATTTAGTTTGTTGTTTTTTACTGTTCTATGCAATGAAATGCTCCTGAACTGATCGTTGGTCAACATGACCTGTGTATATTTTGTATGATTACATGTCTGTGTAAATGTATATAATGTTTTATATTCATTTTTGATTACTTATGTTGAAAATTACTTGTACAGAAAATATTTAGTATTGACCTTTACTATAAAAAGTATTTAAAAAGCTTTATTATCCCAGTTACCAAGTGCTTTAAAGATGCCAAAAGCTAATTGGTCCAGTTGCCCTTCAGTAAAATGAAAAACTGGTGGAAATTACATCCCTTACTTACTATTATCCTAGCATTTCCCCCCTTCTGAAGGTTATATTCCTTGGTGTAGATGAAGAATATAAGTGAGGTAAAAATATCCCCAAAACCTGCATTTAGCAAATATGTCATGTAGTTTTCATTTTTGTATGAATGTTTGTTTATATATACACTTTTTCATTTAACAATACACATTAACATGTTAACATTTCACTGTTTCCATGTATTCTATAATGGCCTTCATCTAATACAATTTAGAGCTGCTTATATGTTAATATGATATACTGTGTCTAAATACATATACTTCTGTTTCTTAAAAATACTCTGTACAAAGGACTGTTTTGTTGCACATTAAAATGGCATTAATATTTTGAGAAATGTCAAATAACAAAATATAACAGTAATGCAAACTTATTTTTCTTTTACATGGCTTTTGAAATGGGGAAAAAGGCATGTCAGTCTCTCAGTCCCCATCATGTGGCTGTAAAGTCTAGCTTAACCTGTAGGGATAGTGAAAATTTTAATTGCTTAAGCTTTCTGTTTGGCACTGATTTTTTTTCAGATATAATCTGTATATGTATAAGCATCATAGCAGACAGAATTAAAGGGGGAAAAGGCAGAAAAATGTAAACGAGGATATTGTTGTGGCATTTTAGAGACTAAGAAATTTGTTTTAGTGTCAGCTTTTTGTATCAAAATTCACTTCAGATATGAGTCTGAGGAACTGGATTTTGATCACAAAAGCTTACACTGAAACAAAGTTGTTGGTCCTTGAAGTGCCACAATATGCTGTTCTTGTCCCCACCCCCCAACCTTTAATTTTGCCAACACAATGAAGCAGAGTAACATGGCTGCTTCTTTGGAAATACCAGACAGAGGTATTGTTTATTTTCCAAGCTTGGCCCACTGTGCCGCAGCGTCATCACAAATAGAAACATTGGAATCATACTTTCTGGCACCAGACAGCTTGGCTGGGAAGGATTAAGGTTTCTCGAACATACAAGGAGGTTTAAAAGTAAACTCCTACCGGAACCAAGGGACTGTGATGTAGTAGCCCAGTTATTCCTGTGGGTGTAATTGAAGGTGTGCAGGATAACAGCTGATGTTGCTCACAACATTGTGCACCATCATACTGAAAAAGCACAGTTTACTTCAACATTCTGCGTATGTAAAGTTATAAGTAAAAGGCCAGTATATCCAAGATAGATATAACCTTGGGAGAACAAATGCATTAGATAGTGTTAATCTGCCATTAATTTCTCCAGAGATAGATGGGCAGTGGCATAGTAGGAAGTGATTGCCTGTCATAATTTATATTGATTCCATGAGGATAGTTTTACCCTACATGTTGTAAAATAGCTACAAGGAAACTTAACAACAAAATCATAGAAATACAACTACACACAACAATAAAAGTAAACAAATAAAAACAGTTGGCAAACATAATAAAACTAGTAATGAACACTGAAAAAACAGGTAAAAGTTGAATAGCTGATACTTCTATACCGTTAAAAAAACATGCAATAACAAAAAGAACATTGCAAAGTGTCTGAAAGAAAAGAATGGTACAAATGAACATATCTGAGGAAGAAGATCCATAGTTCAGAGTTCATAGCTGGAAGTCCTCTCTCACTATCTTCTGAGGATGGCAGTACTTACAAGATCTTAATTTATGATCAACTTAAAGAATATAATTTAATATAATTTATAATTTATTGTCATTGTAAGTATATACACACAAGATCTTAATTTATGATCAACTTAAAGTGGAAGACTGAGATAATCTGGTGATTAAAGGAATCACTTTGACTTTAGCCCAGAAGTATATTTGCATCCACTGAAGTTTGTGCAGTACTGGTGTAACATAATCACAACAGTCAGTCTTATTTAGCCATCTGGTTGTTGTGTTCTCTAACGTTTAAAGCTTCTGGACTCTTTCCAAAGACAGGTCTATTTGCAAGTAATCCATATTAGATTAGAGTTAGATAACTGTAGCCAGACCGCCTCTTCCTTCCAGAAGGGGCATGAAACAATAACACCACTCAAACTTAGTGGAAGGTACTTTGATCACTTGCGGAAGCTATTTGCAAATCTAGTGGGATTTATGTAAAAAAAAAGGCATTTGTGCCTTTGATGGGATGAGTGCAATGCTGTGAGAGTGCCTGAAGAATGGCTGTTTTAGTTCTACCTATTAGCCAACATTTTAATCATTTTTTAAAAAAACTGAGCTTCTGATTTATTAGTTCTCAATCAATTCATCTCTAATTTCAAGTCCTGGTTTCGTCTGTGGATTTAGGGTATCACTGTACTAGCAGCAGGAAGTGAGCTAGTGTGGGCTGCTTGGAAACATTTGGGCTTGATTACAACAATCCAATCAAGTTGACCATTCACATAGAAATGGCCTCAGCCAATATCGTGAAGTGGCTGAATAAGCAAGCCACTTCAGGATATTAGCAAATTAATCATTTCCCCTGCTTGGCAGAGCACAGGGGAAGTAGAAAATTTTTTTGATTGTATATAAACTAGTGCTGATGTGCTGCATCACTTACTTTTCTTTGCCTCTTCTTAGAAGACCAATTGAGAAACAGCTTGCAGCTGAAGCCACCATCATGGATTCAACTGTGGGCAGTTTTTCAAACAGACCCTTAAGGCAAGGCAAAGAAATATTTTTCAATTTTTTTAAATAACTGATGTAGTGCATCAGCAATATTTTATAAATTGCTCTCTGGTGAACTGATTAATCCATTTCAAATATTGGGAAATTCAAAGTGGAAGGTTTGCCTTGGATTGGTTGCAGCAATCATATTTGTTGCAATTGATCCAAACCAGAGTGATCCTATTTCCACCAAAAAACTAGAAGCCCTTTGACATGGGTCAGAAAGGAAATAGGAACACCCTGGGGGCAAGCTGGTGTGCTCTAGCAAAGACATTGTCCAATCACTATCTTTAAGAGTGCACCAGCCCATCCCTACAGCACTCCAAACGGGCTAAACCGCCCATGTAGCCAGCCTCTCAGTTTATTGGAAAGTACATATTTCCAGTGTTGGTTGGAAAAGGAAGCCTTTCATTATCCTTCCTTCTCTCTTTTGTTATTTAAATATACCTTCTTATAACAACCATTGCAAGCTTTTGCTATTGATTATAATGGGCATACACTTTTACTTGTTACACTTCTGGCATAATCATCCCCTATAACAACCAAAGAAAGGTTGAAATATGCCCAGAAAAATCAATATTATTTAATACAATATAATGCAGCTTATTTAATACAGATTTTCTGGGTGCATTTTAGTTTTTCAAAATGGTTGCTCCAAAAATTGGTTTTGCCAACACAAAGAAGCCTTAAAAATTCTCCAGATGTTTGGCTTTAATGCTTAAAGAGTATATCATTATTTTTCCACTATGTGCTATGCCTATCCTTAAGGAAGGAAGGAAAGGAAGGAAAGGGAAATGGTTAGCAGGAGAAGAGGACTCCAGTAGTAATGGGAGAGATTTCCAAAGCAATTCAGAGGAGAGACTTGCTAGCCCTTATGCCCACTTCCCAAGGTAAGTGGCTTTTCCCTGGTGAAGAGATTACAGATGGAAGGGCATCGGAGGAGCACTACCAGAATCAACATTCACTATGATTCCAGTAGGAATGCAGGTCAAGCACACTTGCTTTGAATACACCACTCGTCTGCAATATCATCTGGGAACATCTGGACTTCAGCAGTTGTCATATAATCTGAATCATGTCCACAAAATACACATAACTATTGGTTTGTGGGATCTACACAAACTAAGGTTGACTGAGATGAATTTTATGCACTTGGAGAAGGCCTACACTATATGTACCTTTAGTGATTATTATTTCCAAAATATGTGACTGTATAGACCAACTTTCAGCCAACTATAGATATCAACAAGTAACACCTTTGCTAATATTTAACATATGCTGAGTTCCAAACGGACATCAGTCTCCATCCAGGAAAAATGCAGCCTATATGAAGAGAACTGAGATTAGGTGTGTTAAATCAATATGAACTGCTGGATAGCTCAGTGACAGGTATCTGGCTGGAGAACCAAAAGTTGGGAGTTTGATTCCTCACTGTGCCTCCTTGATAGGGCCTGGACTATGGATTATTCATGGGATGCTTTCCAGCTCAGCAGTTCTAAAATTGTGATGATGGTCAGCACCAGAAGTAGCTTTTGTGTGATAGAACTGGTGCCAAAACAGATAAGAGCTATACATAACACGTTTGAGGTATTCTGTGCTATAAACTACCTGCTAATAACTGATGTGCTGACAAAATATATGTTGGCTTTGTATAGTTATCACCCCTATACAAATAAATGGTAGTGACTGCTTTTTCTCCCAATCCTGCTATCTTCCAAAAAGTTGAAGTCTCTGCTTATGCCTTTTATCCAAGTGGATGATTCATAATGGCAATCATATGAAAATGCAGGTTTCTAGCCCCATCCCCTTTAGAAAGGATAAGGGTTTTCTTTTGTAGAGCATGTCTAATTGTGGAGTATGTTTCCTGCAGGGAAATTATGAGTAGCAAACTGTTCACAGGAGACAGATTTGTATAGGACCTGTATCTTTGAAGGAGACTTCTTTGTGAAAATATCCCTTACAGGTCCAGCTTGTTAGGAAGAAGCTGGGGGATCCAGGGTGTCATGCTTCTCTTAAGTGTTTGTTTTATTTAATTATATGCACCTTTTAATTTGTTTCTCTTTAAGATTTTCAGTAAGGACTTACTTCCTTTCCCCAACATTGATGTTGGTGTTCCTAAGTTTTAAAAAGCAGAGACACATTCAAAATAAATTTCAGGTTGAAGCTAAATCATATAAAATCAAATCTATATTTCAAAACATAAATTTAAAGTCCAGATTGACATGCTATTCACTGAAAACATGGACACACTGCAGCACCCAATCCAGCATAAACCAATATACTAGCCAACTTTCTATAATATCATGAATGGTATAGAAGAGGTAATATGAAGCACAACATTTGTTAGCATTAAGATCTAAGGGATGGAAAGCTCATTTTCCATGCCTAGGTCCAACATTTCAAAGGGTAAACCTCAATCTGTCTAGGTTTGTAGGTGGAAGAATGCAGTGAAAAATTAAAGGAATCAGTTATGTGCTTCTCAAAGTTCCCCCATAGGAAGGCAATTTAAATGGTGCATTCCTTTTTGGCAAAGTGTGAATTTGGGCTAAAAACATCTATCTATGCAACAGATAGTACAGGGACCGACAGAGTAGAATTAGCTTCAAGTATCCCCAGAGTAGGCCACCCCTTTTGGTTCTCATCAACTGGCACTTACAGTCTCAATAATTTGTTCAGTACTGTGAGTAAATGGAATGTTTTATTATTTCTCTTGCCAATGTCTCAGAGGTTCCATTTACTGACAGTTCTGAACAAATAAAAAACAGCATATTGTAGAAAAGGAATGACTGGTTACATGAACAGGCCTTGCCTAACTACATAACTGCACTCTAACTCTAATAGAATACTGAATACTGACTGCAGAAGAACAGAGGAAAGATTCTTAAACAGAGAGGCATGGCTCTCTTGCAAATCAGAGGCAGAGATGGAACAATTGCTTTCTGCTAGACTGATCCACATTCATCCCAGTTTAGAAAGGTCCCTCCCACCAAAAATTCTTAAAGGCAGCATACAACAATTGTTAACAATTCCAACATTCCTCATCAAAAGCCCTCCTCCTCATTCTAGTCTTTCCAGGAAGTCTCCTACAGAACTTTTAAGATATGCTGTTTCCTAGCCTTACACCTATGCATTTGCAGATCCAGATTTTCTTTCTTTGTTGTGCCCCTCTATGCTTTAATACATTTTTCCCATTCCATCCTCAAAAATTTGGGGTTAAACTTAGCTTCGCAGCCTCAGGGCCCCTATTATAATAAGACCCTGGCTTCTTTGAGCAATTTGGTGTAAATCTAGACAACCACTAACAAAGCTGAGATGTTATCCTTATAGACCTGTCATTTGAAGGTTGCCACAAGTAGTAATCAGGAATACGGGTGCCAGTTTCGTATTTATCATACCTTGTGTGCAGTAGTGCTGGCACTATAAGCCACTGCTGTCAGATTTGCATGGTAATTACATTCGATGTACTTATACTGAACCCACCAAGTGCCTCTGAGGCTTTGGCAGAATGCTGGCTTCCATAACTTCCTGACCTAATTCATCCTGACAACTGTTTGTTTCTGTTTTGCTGAAGGGTTTAGAGCTCCAGAAGCGGTAGCCCATAATTTTTATTTCAAGTGCGTAAGTTGAGATTGATGTCACAGAATCTTCTGAGAACTAACTTTTCCCAATATATGTTCCATGCAGTATTTGCTTTTAATGTAATGGTGTTTCAACTCTGAAAACAGAATGGCTCCGCATCAAGCTGGGGATTAAAGCAATCTTCTTACAACTGAGCTGTATTGTTCTGTAACTGCTCACTGCTTCTAAGATGCATTCCTCCGCAGTCTAGTTGGACCTCCTTTCAAAACCTCTTCCAGTTCTCACAAAAATGCAAGGCCTTTGATGGCGATCTCATCGCAAATGAGGTAAGTCGATGACATTTCTAGTTGTATTTGTAACTGAGGTAGGTGATCTTGACACAGATGCAAGACTAGGCGATACTCTTTTATTGGACCACTAAAAATAAAACAATAGCAAGCTGGTGAAATCCACTTTCTCAGGCTCTAAGCACACACCCTTCATGGATGGTGCAGAAAAATTGTCCAGATATTGATGTTACATATCTGGCAGAGATGATCAGTTCTTCTTGTGAGGCTTGGCCTCTTACTTATCTTTCTAACAAGGTTTGGCAGTTTTACATCCTGCCTCTTGAGACCAAAATGCTGTGAATTATCTTGTGATTGCCCCCCACCCCACCCCACCCCCATACACATACACATTGCTTACTTGAAACAAGGTTTCCTTTACCTGTGGGGGTAATGTGATCTTTGCTCTTTTTTAAGAAACCCAAATTCTCCACATCATCCAAAACTTCTGTAATTTCGATAGTTCATTCCAGAATGGATATTCTTGGATGAGAACTGTTAAGGTATTGTGAGATTTCTTTAAACAAATAGTGAAACAAAAGACATGTTTGTGTAAAGAGTTACATCACAGTGTTTTATTGTATTTAATCAGCATTCACATAAGGAACAAACTTCTAGAAGGAAAATTTTAATGCTGACATTGGTATTTGTTGTTGTTTAGTCGTTAAGTCGTGTCCGATTCTTTGTGACCCCGTAGACCAGAGCACACCAGGCCCCTTCTGTCTTCCACTGCCTCCCGGAGTTGGGTCAAATTCATGTTGGTATCTTCGATGACACTGTCCAACCATCTCGTCCTCTGTCGTCCCCTTCTCCTCTTGCCTTCACATTTTCCCAACATCAGGGTCTTTTCCAGGGAGTCTTCTCTTCTCATGAGATGGTCAAACTATTGGAGCCTCAGCTTCAGGATCTGTCCTTCCAGTGAGCACTCAGGCTTGATTTCCTTCAGAACAGTTAAGTCTGTTCTCTTTGCAGTCCAGGGGACTCTCTCAAGAGTCTCCTCCAGCACCACAGTTCAAAAGCATCAATTCTTTGGCAGTCAGCCTTCTTTATGGTCCAGACATTGATATAGCAGCAAATAAAAATTTCACTTTTTAAAGAGAAAAACAGCTAGCAGGTTTGCTGAAGAGCCCAGGGAATAGATATTGGTTATGCTTTTTTGTATGAGATGCAGTTTATGTTGATGTAGGAACAACGTAAGAATGACTCCAGTGTACTGTAATGGAATCACTATAAGTATACAGTATATTTTGGTCTTTTGGTATAGCAACAGGGTTCTGATTCCCAAACTGAAAGGTCCTAGTGCTACCAATCTCTGCCATTATTCTGTCTTTTCTCCATAATGAACTTCTTTTCGGGGGGGGGGGAGAGTTAGCAGAAGCAGTGGAGAAGCATGTGAGAGTTAAAAGGCAGATGACACCTGGAACCTTCATAGAATTCTGGAAATGAGGGAACTGCATGATAAAAGCCTTTTCTGAACCACTCTGTGTGTCCTGTTAACCTGACCTAGTTAAATGGGATACCATTAGTCCATAAATGAATGTTCTTCCACTGTAAAGGAGCAAGAGTATATTCATTGTACTATATGAGAACATACCTTAATTAATTTTGGGTACCCAATGAGCTTTTGCTACTTTTTCTCCCCTTTAGGAAACTTTAGATCAATAGGTTCACAAATGGTGTCATAAGCTTTTTACAGCAGGGGGAATATTATTGGAGAAACACAAATCGACAGGCTTCCACAGTACAGAGAATTTTTTTAAAAAAATCAGCTACCAACATTTCTTAGTCTCTTCAGTTGTTTAAGGGACACAAAAGGATGGTAATTGCCTTTCCCTGCCTTTGATGCTAGAAAAACTCATCAATGTTAAAAATATGGGTGGCCTTACTATGTAAGCCACCTTTAGTTATACTGTATATGTCAACAGTGGCTGCAGGCACATTTAAAAGCATACAGATATTTCCCTGTGCTGAAAAGGAATGCAGATATGGCTTAATGCATACATGTCCATAGGCATATTTGGCTGGTTAGCAACATCTCCATGATGAGAACAACCTACCCCAGGTCATGAAAATAAGATTTTCAAGTTCTATTTTATAAATAGCATGTCCAGTGCTGGCACTGCTTCACCTTCCTCCATGCTGGTCTGATAGTACACATATTTTTCCTCAACCACGACTGAAGTGAATGCCTTAAAGAGTGCTATTGTTTACCTTGAAAGACTTTCCCTCACCAGTGATACAGTTTTGACTCTACATCACTGAAACACAGTTAAAATGATTGGTACAACCAAACCTCAACCAGCCCAAATCATTCACAATCCTAATTGTGTAGTTTTAAAGTCTTGCACTTTCTACCTTGCCTGCTAGGAAACACATGATTTCGTGCCAGAGAACTCCATCAAAACCAACTGCATAATTATTCAAGCTCTACTGTCATAGTCTGTGTTTGTTTACCTGTCTGAAGACTCTTCATCTATAAAGGCAGTAGCTTTGTCTGGGACCGATCTGAACACGTCTATTAGATTTCACATCTTTACCACCAAATTCCATGCCCTGTATATCTGGCGAGCAAAACCTCCCCATATTTTCCGATAATGCAAATTGAGCCAACTCAAGTGTGGTACCCAAGGGTTATTGTTCTTTCCATGTGGACGCCTGATTTGATTCCCTTCAATTCATATGCTCAAAAAAGGGACCCTCCTACCCTAGTTATGCCCAATGCAGTGCTTGCGGCTAGAATATCAGAGAGAAGATAAAGGTTAAGTTTTGAAGCCTTTCTGTTAATAGGCCTCTAACCTGGCTTATAGAGATAAAACTTAACACCTACTGGAATGTCCAGTCATGACAAAGCTACAGATTCTAAGCAATTCCTATTTTAAAACTTTGATTTAGTCGTATAAGGTACTATACCACAATATGCAAAATTAACAGTTTTGTACAAAATGAATCATAGCCACCATGATTATTTTTGCACTATGGGGACATTCTAGCCATCATAATAATGGGCAAGTGAGAAGAATTTCTCCCCATCAGATAAGTCATAACTGGTAAAATGAAGGTGATATAACTGTTCTGAGCTCTGTGTTTTGTTTGTACAGAGGCCTTCCAGTGGTATTCTGGAGCACTGGATGTCCACAGCCTATTGAGTGATTAGTTTGTACAGTACATTGACAGACTACCTAAAGCACAGAATTGAGTCTTACTATTTATTAGGACCACAGGGATGTTATAAAAGTAGTATGAACGTTCAGACTTGCCAGGCATGATGGTGATGATACAAATATTAGGGGACAGGGAAGATAGAAAACATTCAGAAGGAGGCCTGGTATATTGGTCATGGTGTGTATCTCTCTTCTGATTTTTCATTGCAAATCAAAAGGAAGAAAATTTGTATGGTACTCAAAGTATCCCCCCTCCCCCCAAAACAAAACATTACAGGACTGCAATGGCCATTATAGAATCAGACAAGTGCAATCAAAATACCATTTTACATGAGATGAGATGGGATCATAAAACCATAGGTTTCACCTCATAATTGCCATTGAACACTGGATGTTTAAATATTGCACCAGAGATCTCAGTCTTTCACAACAAACGCTTTATGTAAACAGCTCACAGGTTTCCAGTTGTGTCAATACATGTTTATTGTTTAAATAGTCCAAGATTTTGAGGGCAATAGCCCACAACTGAGCTGGTTTTGATTGTACCTTGTTGTATTTAAGGTTAGCTTTGTTTTTGTTGATATCTTGCCTTCCCTGATGAAGATGACACCAGATATTGCCATCGCAAGCTTGGACTATTTAAACAATAAATAGTCTGGAAATCCGTGAGCTATTTATACATTGCACTACCTGGTGTGAGTGAACAAAAGTGGACTGGAACAGGACATTTCAATCAAATGATTGCAAAGTGTTTTACTCTGGAAATGGCAAATGTAAAAGAATTTACTCTAGAGAAATAGTGAAATGAGGGGTAGCATAAGGATTTAGGGACTACAATACAATGTATGGCCAAATAATATCAGTTAGACTTTGTGAAAAGCCTATAAACATAACCATCATCCAGGTCTGTGCTTCAGCTACAGATGCTGAAGAAGATAAAACTGAAAGCTTTTGTGCAGATGTCCAGGAGGAAATTTATCACACACTAAAACAGGATAAGCTTATAACAATGAGTTATTGGAATGCAAAAGTAGGAATATTGTTGATGAATTTGGCCTAGGAGTCAGAAATGAAGCAGGAAAGCAATTCGTACAATTCCGTCCATGGCAATTACATGCCTCAAGCTAGCTACCAGGCTATGGTACACATGAATGTCACAGGACAGTCAAAAAAGAAGTCAAAAGGACTATAAAACTGGAAGCAGAAAAAAAATCTTATGTATGGATCTGTGACTAGATACCAAGGCCAAGATCATCCGTAATACAGTATTCCCAATTATGATGTATGAATATGAAAGCTACACAATGAAGAAAACTGGCAGTGCAAAAAAAAAGAGACTAATTTGAAATATGGTGTTTACCTTGAGGAAAGCAGAAGTGACTAAACTGAGCTTATACTTTTGACATAACGTAAGAAGACAACATTTCCTTGAAACAATGAATAGTGCTAGAAAAAGTTGAAGGCATAGGAAAAGGGGAACGCCAAACATGAGATGGATTGAGTCAGTAAAGTTAGCCATTACTTCTATTTTGCCAGACTTAAGCTGTGCTGTTAGTGATAGGTGCTTCTGATGCTCATTTATTGATAAGGGCCACCATAAGTCAGAAATGTGACAGTATATAAGCTTACATTCCATTGCATATGTGGCTAAAAAGCAGGTGTTAGGTCTTCAAGCTTTGAAATGATAACAAGAAACATTATCTTGTCAGTGAACAATAGCTATAAGAAAGAGGTTGCCAGAAGAAAAAGGGGTGGGGGATGTACTATAAGAAAGATATCATGGAACTGTATAGTAGACATAGCTACCATATAATAATTTTAAAAAACACACCTCTCAACTTAGCCTGGATTCAAGTTATGGTCCCTTCAGGTAAGACCAACAACAGGAGACATCTTAAGAAAGTACAAAAATAAATGAAATAAAATGTGACATTTTTAAAAATGCTGTGCGGTCTTCCAAATGTATGCTTAGCATATTAAAAATATGAAGATGGCTACTGTGATAAAATTAGGCAAGGCCTTGAATTCAAATCTCTAGTGACTGCTCATTATATGTGGCTTGGTCTCATTTATAATCATGTATGTTTAGTTAAGCTTAGAAATTCGCCCACAGCAAAATTAGGTCACAGAAACAGCCTATGCAGTTGACAATACCAAGAACCTGTTCACCATTTCTCCAAATGAGATTTATAATTTAATTAGCAAAGATCTTGCTCCATCTAATCCATAAATCGGATGTGGCCACAGCCTGCCAGTAGAGAAAGCATAATTTCTAAATGTATATTTACCTTTGAGTTGCTAACCACACAGTCCTGTGCATGTCTGGTCAGACATAAACCTCAATGAGTGCATAGGTATTTACTCCCAGGATTGCAGCTGAGCAATGCAACTCTATATGTATTCACTTACTTGGAAGTCAGATTCCGTAGGGTCTTTATCTGAGTAGGCCTGAGTAAATTGTTGGTATCTGATGTCAAGTTATGTCAATTTATTCATATGATTTATGGATTTTATAGAAGAGAGACCTTTTTTAAATCTCCCTGTCATTGTTTACTTCTATTTCTTTCAATTTCATGTGGTAATAAAGTGTATCAAAATATGTTGAGCAGCATACTTCAAAAATCTTTTTTATTGGACAATAAAGAGTCAATCATCCACAAAAGTCAGGGGATTATGGAAGAAGTTCAAAAATGGACAGCTGCGGCAGCCATTGCCTCAGTAAAGGTCTGACTACATTGGAAAGCTGAATCAGAACTATTCAGCTTTGCTATGATTTGCTTTGCAACCTAGAAAATGTTTCAAAACACAATAAATACTCACACAGGTGCTGTGGATTGATTGAGAAGTTCACCTTTCCCACTGGATGTGGTACAAGTTGCATTCCAGCTCACAGCCCCACTTCTTTCCTTCCCTCCTCTGGTCTCACTTCGGCCAATCCTTCCTTCCTTTGGTCCTGCCCCTGCTTATTCTTTTAGGGTTCACTGTGAAGCCACTTTCTCATTTAATGCTTCAGACTACTACTTTTATAAACTATTTTCTAAAGAAAAAATAATACATAAAGGTACTTCACAGTCTACGAGTACAGAACAAGAGTTTGAACAGTAATTTTGCAAAATACATCATAATTCACACTTAAAAATTATTCCATAACAGGGATCACCCCTTCCCCTGCCTCTCAGACACTCTTTTCCTTTACTTTCAAGGAATGCAAGCAGGTCACATATAATTTTAAACTATTGGTATGATAAACTGTGATAAACAGGCATTTGGGGGAAAGAACACAGGACCAAGTGACAGTTCTTGAAGTCATGATGTAAACAAACTAGAGCTAATATACCACCAAGAAATATTGGCTTCTAATTATGGTTTGGGATTGGCTTGCTGCATTAGATCATGGTTTATTGTGCAGGATAGCTTCAATCACCACTTCCCCTTCCTCTCAGACACTCTTTCCATTTACTTTCAAGGAATGCAAGCAGGAATTACCTTGTATCTGGTCACATATAATTTTAAACTATTGGTGTGATAAACTGTGATAAACAGGCATTTGGGGGAAAGAACACAGGACCAAGTGACAGTTCTTGAAGTCATGATTTAAACAAACTAGAGCTAATATACCACCAAGAAATATTGGCTTCTAATTATGGTTTGGGATTGGCTTGCTGCATTAGATCATGGTTTATTGTGCAGGATAGCTTCAGAACCAGAATTCAACAAACCACAACTTGGTCTATTGTGACATGTGGGTCTAGCCATAACCAAATTACAACTACCAGGTAGCAGAGGTTTATTTTATTTATTATATTTATTTATTGGACTTATATACCACCCCATAGCGCTACAAGCCCTCTCCTAGGTAGCAGAGGTTTAGCATAGAGCAGAATTTAACATATATGCATCCATATAAAAATATCTGCTCATAAATTTATTTCTTCTCAGGATTCAGCTATATGTGAGCAGATTACAGTGAAGAGTTAGCATAGAGCAGAATTTAACATACAGTATATGCATCCATATACAAATACCTGCTCATAAATTTATTTCTTGTCAGGATTCAGCTATATGTGAGCAGATTACAGTGAAGAGTTTTCGCCCTGCAAGTGTGGAATGCTGCCTATGCGTAAGAAGAATGAGGTTCCTCAGACAGGTCAGGCTTCTGCTATGGAAAAACTGGATACTTAGAAAACGACAGAAGGTAAGCCACTGGTGTGTGTTAGTATGCCCACATGCTTACCTTCCCATTGGGAAATACTGCTAATTTGCTCAGGTAGTTGGTACATTTTGTGGGTTTTTACACTCGGATTAGCAGCATTGTTTCATTTTGATCAAATTCTCCTTTTATGGAGTGAATGTCATAATAATGTCCTTCATGCTCATTACTTGAGAAAAAGAAACAGCAATATACTTGACATGTTATTATTAGAAGCCCCTGTGAAGAAAAGAAATTAATCCATGTTACCCAGCCTCACCAAAAGGGAAAACTACAAACAAGGTTCACTTCCTCTTGAGACCCAGCTATACTTAGATGTGAATCCAACAGAACATGGTACTAAAGAGATAAAAATATGCAGTGAACTTTTGCTACAGGAAGCAACTGTCCATAATATTGAAATATTTTCATGTGATTCATTTCTTCAAAGGGCAGGAACACACAATGCAGGCGCCATCCAAGTCATACACGATGTGTTTGGGAGGGTGTGGGAGAAACTAGAGGACAATGATTAATGTGTAAACCCCTCTCTTAGGAGTATATAGAGATACTCGTGTTCTGATCCAACAAGAGAAATAAATGCACACAGACTCTTTGTACGTTGAAGCTCATCTACAGTTAATGTTTTATATTCAACCGAATCTCTCTGAACTTGCTATCCATACCTTCTGATAGCAATCCAGGTTTTCATCAATAGTCACTAGCAATTCTACATAATGGTTCTTTGATCCAGAACCACCATAATGTATAGCAGGGGAGGGACAACAGCCAGCAGTCTGGGGATCATACACATGCCCATCCTTGAATCTTGGGAAGGCCATACCTGTTAACAGGAGCCTTGGTTTTCCAAAATAATCTTAAAACCCTTTGCATCATTTAGCAGGAAACAATTTTTAAAATAAAAAATAAGGAAAATCTTGTGATGTGGAGGAGTGTACGGGGGTGGAGGTGGTTAAAATAGAAAAAAATACTTCCCATACTCCATAGTGGTCACAAGGTGGATATTCTGAGCCAAAAATATATAAAACCTGGAGTTTGCATGTCTGTGTGTTGGGGGTGTACAGGGCCAGGATTTCTGGGGGGGTGCCATATCACTATGCTTAGAGGCTCCATGTAGAAGTTGGAGATTAGATCCTGTGCTTGGCATCTTCAGAACTTCGAAAGTTATGTTAGTATATAAGCATTGACATTACCTAAAAAAACCACAACTTGTTATTTTATACATTGCTTTACTGACAGGTTAATTTAATTAATTTTAATTTTAAAACTTTCAAAATAGATTAAGTGGCTCCAAAAATATTTTTTTTTGGAATAACAGGCAAAGACACTTGGGTTGCCATATTTATCTACATGTTAAGCAGATCCTGGGCCCATTTACACAGATTCTGAACCCATACAGTTTGTGCCTATCTGCTGGTGGGCGAACATTCTGTTGGCTTGGTATCTTCAGTGCCCTCCAACCCTGGCCTGTGCCACTTCAATGGCAGCACAAGAAGCCACCTCATGGTCTCAGAATTTTACCATTAAAACTCAGAGAATGAAGTACTGCTATTCAACATCTGGACCCTTTCAGTCAAAATCCAAGAAATCTGAACAAAGTGCTAAATCATATCTGAGTGGTGGGTGGATGGTTGGGAAGATTTGAAAACCTAGAGACATCATAATTGCTGTATCATATATTTTATTTGGTGTATGTCGAACTTGATTGGGCCATCATGCCTTGAAGTCAAGTGCAAATAATAAACAGAATAGAACAGTACTTTATACATATGAAAACTGAGCAGACACAGTTTAGTTCTTAAAAGAGTGGTCAACAGTCCAGCCCAGGGCATATTTACTACAAACTTACATTCCACTGTCTTCATTTTCACATTCACTTCTGAGTCAGTATAACTGAAAACCTGACTTGACATCATGCACTAAGTATTCGATGTGTGGACCTCAATGTAACCACATCTATGGGGAGAGGTGTGCAGTGGGGTCCCTCAGGGTTCTGTCTTGGGCCCAGTGCTCTTCAACATCTTCATAAATGAGGGGATTGAAGGAGCACTCATCAAATTTGCTGATGACACAAAGGGAATTGCTAATACTTTGAAAGACAGACTCAACATTCAGAAGGATCTAGACAGACTTGACCACTGGGCCCTATCCGATAAGATGCAGTTTGGTGGCAGGAAGAGTAAGGTCCTGCACTTAGGCAGGAGAAACCAGATGCACAGGTACAAGATAGGTGGGATCTGGCTTGACAGTAGTACCTGTGAGAGGGATTTAGGTGTCCTGGTGGACCACCGCCTAAGGATGAGTCAGCAGTGTGCTGCAGTTGCCAAGAAAGCCAACACAGTTCTAGGGTGCATCAAGGAGGGGGGGTAGCATCAAGATCACAGGAAGTGATAGTACCACTCTATACCGCACTGGTGCAACCACACTTGGAGTGCTGTGTTCTGCTCTGGTCACCACAATACAAAAAAGACACTGAGGCCCTGGAAGGGGTGCAGAGAAGAGCAACAAAGATGATACAGGCATTGGAGGCTAAATCCTATGAAGAACAACTAAAAGAACGAGGTATGTTTAGCTTAAGGAAGAGAAGACTGAGGGAAGACATGATAGCAGTCTTCCAATATCTGAAGGGTTGCCACAGGGAAGAGGGGATCTATTTCTTCTCCATTGAGCCTGAGGGTAGGACAAGAACCAATGGGTGGAAACTCGTCAGAGGGAAATCCAACTTGGATATAAGGAGGAATTTCCTGACGGTGAAAACCATTAAGCAGTGGAACAGCTTGCCTCCCAATGTATGATGTCCAGGATGGTATGAGGTCTCCTGCCTTGGGCAGGGGGTTGGACTAGAAGACCTCCAAGGTCCCTTCCAACCCTACGACGATTCTCTGCATAGGATTTCATCTTTAGCTGGGTTTATTTCTGAGTAAAGAGCATAGGAACAGGCTTCCTCTGTGTTGTGGATGACGAACCTTTGGTGTTCCATGTCAGCATCCCATCAGCTCCATCCAGCATGATCAATAGCAATGGGTTTTGAAAATTGTAGCCCAAACATCTAGAGTGCCAGAGGTTCACTCCTCCTTCTCCATACCATGGGGAGGGCAGTTAACTCAAAAACAAAACATCTGGTTTGCATACAGGAGATACTATGACAAATCTTTGGTAATGCTGAGAGACAACCTTCTAATAAAGAGCAGGATGTGACCAACTGTCTGGGGAAAGTCTGAATAACCTTGGAATAGAGTGGTCAATCAACTAGATAGGCGGGATATAAATAAAATAAATAAATAATAATAAAATGGTGGGGTGGAGAGTGTTGGGAAGGAAATTCTTTCTCTCCCTGTATTTCAAAGTGTTCAAAAGCCTTGTGAATAATGGGATCTCCCCTTTAAATGCACGTTGGAGCTCCAGATAAATATTTTTGTTGGGACTCTGGCCAGGTTGGGAGAGAGAGTTACATTCTTTCTTCCCACTCTATAGGGCCCCCAAGGCTTCTCTTGCTTCTCCTTGGCTGCGGATTACATACTAAAACCAATATGGCCCATATAGCATCTGGTCACCAGGAAAGAGGGAACCAGCCGTCCCCAGAGCAGACCAAACCAGGGACAAATCCCGGTGTGATCACACTCTTAACTGTCATGGCATCCTATCACTCATTTGCTCTAGCTAAATTTAATTTAGTGTAAATAATACAGTACATCCCACTTTTTTTCTCTTTCCTGTTTTCCAGCTTCGTCTTTTGGTTGAACTTCTATGGCCTTTGTCCTTATTTCTCGTCCTAGTCTGGCTGAGGAGTATTAATCCACTCTATCGCCAGCATGAATGTAAGTGCATCATTAGTAAGTAAAATGTGATTTTGAAGAACAAAGTCCTCCTTACTTAGCTGTTCTCTCAGAAATTAGCTTTATTCCTGTGGTAGCTTGACAGGAAAGGAAATCAAGCACATCTTTTGAATGCACAACTAATTCTCAAGTTCAGACTTAACATGAGCGGGAGATATGTGTGTGCGCGCCATCATCCTGCATATCACTAGTAATGATGTGTAGCAGGAAAAGCATATGATGTGACACCATTTAGTTTATTTGCTGATGTTTAACAAAGTTGTGAAAATTCAGTTGCTAACCCGATGAGAGTGCAAATATATAGTATGTTTTAACACTTTTCCCCAACTACCTGTTTCCCCAACTACCTGTTTTAGAGGAGCTCATGAATCTCCCCATAAAGTGTAGTTTAGGCTTCAATAGCTGTACGTTTACTATTTATTGAGGTGCATGTTAAAGTAGCATGAGACACTGTTACCTTTCTGGTAAAATGATTATATGTTTCTCTGGAATTCCAGTAATTTTTTACTCCAGTACACTAGGCTTACTGACTAACATGGCTGTACAAACTTGGAAAAAATTTACTTTATCAACTACATTTCCCAGAACCCCCCAGCGACATGCTCCTAAACTCTTAGCCTTTACTACTACACATGGCAAAGTTTCTTGCCATTTAATGCATGACAGAAGAGGAAGAGAGATCATCTTGGATTTTTGACTATGCAGTGATTGATGAAAAATTATTTATGCATATGTGTGTATAGTCTTTATTTATTCAAATCACATTTTCTTGTGCTGTTGCTTTTATTGCTGTTGCTTTTATTGATGCTGTTTTCATCTGCTTTAGTTAGCTTCAAAAATGGATTTTTCCAATTATTACAGCTGAAATAACATTCTGCTCAGTCTTCAAAATTAATGTCTAGTACTGTACTGTGACTCCCTCCAGGGGAGAAGGAATCATCCGTATTTTTCTCTGCCCCTCATTTTTTAGAGCAATCCATTTTAATTACTTAAAGATTTTACTTTTGAAATTTACTGTGTATATTTTTGAATAACTTAAATCTTGCTAATGAATATATGCCAGTAACTCCAAATTCCTGATTGTGTGGAACACCAACTGTGTTAATCCAAATTTGATGTAGCTTCTCCCCAGTCCTTCCTTTCACCATCAAGTGGAAGGTCAGGGCGGAAGAGGCAGGACTAGAGAACTGGTTCCCCTATTTAACGGTTTCTGAACATCTCCTGAACTTCCAAAAGTCAGTAGAATCTCTAATTGGTAATGCTACACAAAACCATTCATCTAAATTAATTAACATTAAAATTAATTAAACATTTCCCATTACTTCAGATGAGAAGTACAGAACTGCAAGTTTGAATATTCTCCCATGCAAACACTATGAAATAAACACATACACCCTTGATTGTGGAAAGCTAGCATGTCGAAGAGAAACCTATGCTAAAACATTTCCTTCTGTCCTCTAGCTTTTTACAAGCAGGAAGCTCAATTGTTTATGTGAATTGGCATGACATTAAGTTAAGTGGAGTTACAATCTTGGTTTGTGAAGATACTGACTGTAAATAATTAATTTACAGTCAGTGAGCTAACAACTTTGTTAAATAGATTCAGAATCACACTTAACCTTGGAAAATAATCACACATTCCGGTCCAAAGAACATATTCAGAGAAATCTGGTTCTAGAAAGCGTGCTCCTTCAACCCAGTAAGAAAGAAATAAGAAGTAATTGTGAGAGCAAATTAAAAGGAAAAGCACAATTGTGTCTAGATTATAAACAATGATTTTCTTTGCATTTATAATGCTATATTAATGAATAACTAAGCAGATTGCATAACTGGGAAGATAACACTGCAAGAGCATGAAAACCTCATTTCTTCCCCCCTCCCATTACATAGCTTCTTTATCCCATCTTGGATCCTGTTTTCTTTATTGATTTTTCTGCTCTTATCATCAAAGTTATTTCAATGCTGTTTTTATCTTTATATTTTGTAAGTCACCCAGAGCAGATTCCCGAATCTAGATGGGTGGGGTAAAAATGGAACAAATAAATAAATAAATAAATTTATCTGAATGTGTGGAAAACAAGAAAGTTACTACTTATTCTAGGGAATACTTTGTGATAGGAAAGATTATAGCAATCCTAGTTCTGTCTAACTAAGGCTGTAGTGCAGGAAGTCACTCCTTCCACTAGCCTTTCCAGAAGAAAACCAGAGAGTGTGGGAAGAACAAATACTGTACATTAGGCCAACAATCCTAGGAGTATCAGGGCATGGTTACACCTGGAAAAAGAACCATAGTTTAATCAATTTTAGCATGTTTCAAATTGAAGTTTTTAAAAAAAGGTGAATACACAATGCACATGGAAGGGCGGATTATTTTAATAGAGAATTAATCTTCTGCCAGAGGGTAATTTATTTTAATTCAGATGTTGAATCAATTTAATTCCTAGTGATTGCCATTTGTGAATGCGTCTGTTAGCATAGGTTTTTCACCAACTGATTTAGTCCGTCTTTTTGAATGCCTTTTACAAATGTATCATATTAGACTATTGTGTCCTGTATTTTGAATGTTTTCCCTCTAGTCTTCTACTTTATCATTGTATTACTTAATCACTGATTCACAATTCGCTCCACAAGAAAGAATTATTCATTTGAGATTGTGGGAGGGAAGGGGGAGGGGAGAAGAAAAAGAGGAGGGGAGGGGAGGGGGAGAACAAGAAGGAAGAGGGGAAGTTTCACTTGCAATGTAGCTTTGAATCTTTTTTCCCCTCCTTTCCTGCCTCTCTCCTCTCTGCCCCCTTCCTCCAGTCAGTGATGTTATGAAGCCAGCAAGCTGTTCTTTTTTTGAAAATAATATCGTTCTACCGCTATGTCACTTAGAAATATTAAACAACAACAAAAAGAGATTACCACATAGGAGATTTAAATTAACAATGGCTTGGGGGAGATCCCACATAAAATCATATGGATCCATGAGGATCCATGCCTAGGATCCATGCTATGTAAGCATACTGTTCCTCTGACAAAGTTCTTTAAATGTTTAATTTTTCTTCATCCTATAAAGTTTTAGCCACCATGTTCGCACTTTATTTCCCTTCATCTAATTAAGTGGGAGGGATATAAAGTTCTAGAATAAATTTAAAAAAATCACAACAAGACAAACAGATCACAATCAAGCAGCATTCAACACAAGTAATCCAAGATCATACACATGTGATCACTGCAGTTTCTTTATACATAAATACGAACCAGTTCTTAGAAGTCATTCTACTATGTTAACATTTCATGTTCTGGTTTTTGTTGTTGTTCTTGTATGAAGGTCACTTCCCAAATAAGGCAATGCCTTCTGCAGGGACACTGCCGTGGCTACAGGGCATCTTCTGTAACATGAACAATCCTTGCTTCAGAAGTCCTACACGTGGAGAATCCCCTGGCGTTGTGTCAAACTACAATAATTCCATGTAAGCAGAGAGAGACTTTTATTACCTCAGCAAAAGAGCAACAGACTTGTGCCCTGTCATTCTAGATTTGTAAGAGGGCTCAGCTGACTCCGCTGCAAGAGGAGAAGAGACATTCATAGGATAATGATGATTATGATGGTTATGATTTTGCCTCAGGTGCCAAAGAAATTTGATTGATCTTCAGCATGATTCACCTTGACACTGCACATTGAGGATGGGAAGAGTTGTCATATACTGTAGTATTCTGTCTCGGGCAGCAAAATAACTTGGGCTGGCCCTGTATGTATCTGATAGGCAATCATAGCCCTGGATGATCCCAACCTTTGGGCAAATGGTGTTTCACTCAGATATTCTCAAGGAATTTGTTGATTTAATGAATTTTATAGCATACCTACAGCACATAATTTGGTCCTCTAACAATTTTGTTTGGTTGCTGCTCCTGGCCTGGGCTTATTGGCTGCATTGTTTAGTTTGTTTCATCTAATGCTTCATAACCAATTGGAGCATGATTTTGGAAAAATTTCTTTTTTTTTCCGTACAACTCCTACAATTGCCTAACCAGCACAGTGGCAGCTAAAGCTGGAAGCTTAAAAACTGTTTTTTAAAAAAAAGGCTTATAAAATATAGTTATGACAGCCAATTAATAGTTTTCTTTCCCACCCTTTTTCAGTTTAGCACGATTATACCAAGACGCTCAAGACCTCTTACTGAGAACCCATGAAGCAGACCTGGGCAAACTCTGGGAAGAATTGCGCACCCTGTCCCAGTTTATGGAAACTATTAGGACAAATCCTGAAAGGATTGCAGGTAATAATAACCTGCTTTGTTCTCTGTCTTTTAAAATGCTGTTTTAATTCCCTGCTTAAAAGATAAGCAGTGACCACACCATATCAACTTGATTAACCTGTGTACTGAAGATTTTTCTGTCTGTGCATTTTGGACTTCCACATTACGACTCCAACAGAGGGCAAGTCCCTGATATTTTGCTGTCTTAGAGGAAGAAACAAAATGGCACCTCTCCCTCCATTCCATGTGCAAATGGTGACTGAATGGGTACTTGAATCTTAGCTTATCAGATCTGGAAGGGCAGTACTGTCCGTGGGAGCTGAGGCAGCAGGCTAGCTTATGGGATATAGTCAGGCTGTGTGGTATTTACATACCAACCAGCATTCTCTATCTGCTTGCTTATCATTTTGTCCAGGATAGGCTACAGCTTTTCTTTTCCCTCCATGCCTTCTAAAATTCGGAGAGAATTCTCAGATTAGGCTGAGGCTAATGCTGAGATTGGCGTACCTCAGCCCATTGAATTCCAACTGTGTTGGAATACCACCCATTCTCCAGCCCGAACAATCACAACAGTTTCCACTGTTGTATGTTTATTTTAAATGTAATAATTATTTCTAAATGTGTGTCTATACACGTAGGCCACAGTTTTGTTGGGGGAAAACAACACAGAACAGTAATTCTGCAAGTGGCTCTCCTTGCTAGCAGGATGCATGTTGCACAGGTACATCACAAAAAGACAAGAGTCACTGGAAAAGGTCATAGTGGTGAGACAAGTTGAAGGAAACAGGAAAAGAGGAAGACTAAATAAGAGATGGATTGACTCAGTAAAGAAAACCACAGCATTGAGTTTGCAAGAATGGAGCAGGACTGTTGATGACAGGACTTTTTCAAGGTCACTGATTCATAAAGTCACCATGAGTGGGAAGGAACTTGACATAACATAACAACTGCTGCATTACTGGCCATGCACTGATTGTGAAATCAGTTGCAACTAATCAGTTGCAACTAATTCTCAACCAATGTGACTGGTCATGCAATAAATATCCTATCGAAAGGACAAACCACTTGCATAATTACCAAGCACATAGAGGATTTTTCCCAAGAGGATCCAGCCTATAAATAGTCACATGTTCATCCTTTATCAAGGGAAAATACAACCTCACTTTTCAATAATGTATAACTAGAAACTAAATAGATTGCTTCTGTACAAATAGGAAATGCTTACATATTTTGTTCTGCTAGGTAGTTAAGAAAGATGACTCATGGGCACCTTATCCTTGCAATAAGATATTTGGGAGCTAATTTCCTCTACAGGCTTTTTGTTCTTGAAATATATCTGCTCGTATCAGACATTTTGTTCTCTCTGCCTGCCAGTTTTTGTGGGAACCCACTCAGCTGCTCTAAAGTAGTATCGAATAACCATATTACCAATAGGTAGAGGTTATGGCCATTTCTTTCTTGACTTACATAAGAGCAGACGTAATGTTCCAAACTGTGGCAAATTTGAAAGAAGCAGGCATAAGAAAACTTCTAGATAATTAGGCCACACAGTAGGTGCTCCAGTTTGATTGGGGAGAGATCTACTCTGTAGTTAACTCAGCATAATGATTAATCCAGCCTTGGTCATGAGAAAGTAACTACAGGAATTTAGGACTTGTACAAGGCGGCCTCTAACTGGGCTGTGACTGCCTTTGGGAGGTGAACTGAAGAAAGAGATTCTAAAACCATTTATTCTTGAGTAAATAGCTGAAAACACATACACCAGCCGCCCAAAAAACGACATAGTCAAAGAGCTTTGGAAATCACCGCTTCAGGGCCTCACTCCAGGCCCTCTGGAACGTTTAACCATTCTTCCAAGCCCTAGGTCTGGGTTTTGTGAGCATGCCAACCTCTTTCAACATTCTGAAAAATAAACAAGTGTAGTCCACATGCCAAGCTTCTTGTGTAATGCATGCGATGCAACTGTCATTCCACATTCAAGTGCTTTTAAAAAAAAGTCTGAGATGCTGTTTATTTTTAAATGAATGCCTTTATTTTAGAAAAGTATTTCCCATACTTTTTAGAGACCTCCCCATAGCTTTTAATTTTACCCTCCCACAAACCTCCCTGCCCACAATATCCAGCACCAGCAATCTGTTCCACAGCAGAGCATGTAAAAATCCTCAGATAAACGTGTGTTGACACATGTATCGCTGGCCACTGCAGTGCAAGATTTGGCTTGAGAGGAGGCACTGTGTTATTGGGAGAGCAGAATAAAGCCAAATATTTCTGGCCTGCAACATGGCCTTCCCTCCTCTGATGCTTTTTACCGGCAACTCCTGTCATCCCCCTACTGACTGGGGTTTTTGGGAATTGGAATCCAACACCTTAGGCAAGCCACAGGGTTCAGAAAAGCTGCCCTAATAAAAGCTTATATTGGGAAATTCTGATCTTTCTTTAATTATTGTAATACTACCAGTATGGAAATAGCCTCCCACCCTGTTAGTGGGCAGAGAAATGGGATGGGGGGGGCACCACCAGGGTTTTTCTTTGGTAGGGATAATGTTTCAACACTTTCTTGAAGATGAGCTCACTATTGGCAGTAGCCATAACACAGTTTCTCCCCCCCACCACATCCACCCGTGAGTTGTGTTTTGTGCTGCTACTCTACATGGCTCCAGCAGCAGCTACGCTGACAGTGTGACCATCATTTTGCACCCCCCACAACAAAGCAAAGCAAAGCAAAGCAAAGTGTGCTGCTTATATACTGCCCCATAGCACTTAAAGCACTCTCCAGGCAGTTTACAAGTTAATTATGCAGGCTACACATTGCCCTCCCCAGCGAGCTGGGTACTGTACTTACCGACCTCGGAAGGATAGAAGGCTGAGTCAACCTTGAGCCGGCTACCTGGGACTGAACCCCAGGTCGTGAGCACAGTTTTGGCTACAACAGCGGTTTAACCACTGCGCCACGAGGCTCTTAACAATTCATGTTATTCAAAAATTTCATAGGTTTGGGTGGAGAACAGAGAAATGGTGGTGGAGGACATTCTGCAAAATGGCCTTCTGTTTTGATCAGCAGGGAATGAGGGGATTTTAGTAATTAAAAGAAAAACCTCAGACTCTTTCTCAGAAAAATGTCTTCTGAGACATTTTACTTCGCTAAAGTTGTCATTTGTTAAGGTGCAGCACCTTACCCGGGTTCTCCCACGTTACCTTTATGAGAAATTATTTTGGATACTACGTAATGCTTTTACTATTGCTTGTTTCCTGCAATAGTCCTTGCAACAGGTCTGAGAGGATGTGATGTTTTGTTAAGCTCTAGAGAAGGAGTAAACCCTTTATTTTCCCAATCCAAAGTCTCCACAAAGTTGTGTGCAATATAATCAAGTGATTACAGATAAACTTTTAAAAACATAGTAAAACAATTTAACTGTTTTTTTACATCCAGTGTCAATAAGGTGATTGCCACTATCTGTACATTCCACATTTCAGCTAACAGTTTACAGTACCCCTCACATTCATCAATCACATGTTGTATCTGTATGTATAATCTGTAATTTAGAATAATAATGTGTCTTACATCCAAAGGAACAGATTCTAGTCTGTCAATTGGTATACCTTATGGGTATGCCCCTTCAAGGTCCCATAGACAGTAGGATAAAATAATCCCAAACTAGGCTAGCAACAATATAAAGTGACAACTGTTTTTTAAAACTCTATAAACCTCCATCCTCCAGTTAAAAGCTTATTAAATCAAAGTATCTACAAGGTGCCTTTCAAAACAACAAAAAGCAACTTGACTGTATGTGATGTGAGAGAGGAGTTGCACAAAGATGGAGGTGGGCCTCCCAAAGAAAACAACAATCCCTGTCAAGGCAAGGTGGCCATGATCAAGCAAGTCGGGGACCAATCAACCCTACAAATGCAGGAAGAAACTGTTGCATTTCCCTTTAGATTAAACCCACTCCACCCATTTCTTAGCTGATGAGAAAAGCTCCACCAGTCTCAGGATATCTGTTTTTAGAATTCTGTTCCCCCAAATTGCCCTTCACCCATTTCAGTTTCTTTCTCAAGTGAAAGACATGCAAGGAAACAGAAGTCTAGCCTGGACAATTCTTATTTCAATTTTCACTGGGCATGAATCTCCTGATGTCATGTCCATTCCTGCTATTGGACACAGTGAGGCAGTAATTTCAGGCAAGAGGATGCTGGGACCGAATCAGCAAGGGGTTGTTGCCATGTAGCCTGCCTGGCAACTCTGCGCCCTGGCCTATTGTCTCCAGAAGGGGAGTAAAATACTGTTACCATCATCAGCATGGGAATAAGATTCAGTTAACAGTCCAGTTGGCTTTTATATGTGGAATGGAACCAAGGTGGTCAATCTTACCCTTTGCCTCAGACCACACGTTTCAGATCAAACGATACGTTTCCAAACTTGATGATAAAAATGGTGGCTTATACTTTTACTGAAACATCAGAAAAGAGAATCATTTCCACATCTGAAAACGCCATCATGCAACAAATGTCAAATAAACCCCAACATTGTGGATGTGATTAATGTGCAGGGTAGAATAACCTGGTCGAGATAATGTCTACAGTGTGTTTGTCCCTTATGTTGAGATCTATCATAACAGCCAAGAGTTTGGGACTTCACTACCTGCTGGAGTGTTTCTCACAGAAAATATCTACCCATCAAACCAGAGTCTCTTAGGCCTTGCTACTGAAGGTGTCCATCCCAAGGGAAATAAAGAAGTCAATTACAGTCTGCTGTAACTTCCATTAAATATCAGGCAGACCCCACTCCTTAAAGTCCTTCTGAACTGTTGAGAGAAGCCTTGGGCAACATCTGATATTGTGTGACCTGTTGTTATATTTCATGTTTTGGATTGAAGTTTTATCATATTATTTGTTGTATTGGATCATAATTATTTATTTTTTATCTCTTCTAACTTGTTTGATTATGGTTACCTGTTGGTTAAATTGACTGATTGGGAGGGTTTTTTATTATTATTTTTGTTTGATAATATGATATATTTATGTAAACTGCCCAAAGTAGTGATTTCACAAAGTGGGCCGGTCTATAAGCATTAGGAATATATAAAATAAATAAACCTCTAAGATTCTTAGATGAAATACCCTATTTTTAGATGAAATAACCAAAGATTTTTAGATGAAATAACCAAAGCAAAACTTCACCCACTCCAGCATTTTCCATGAACTTAAGTGAAAATGAAATCTACAAAATGAAGCATTTGAAATCTTTTCTTAAGATGCCGAAAGAAGAGGCACATTGTTAATGCTATGGACTGAATAATTTTTAAGCCACTTGTACAGCAGTTTTTAAAAATGTTGCTCAAAGCTCCTTGGATACAATGATTTGCATTTTAAACTATTTATTTTAAAGAATTCTAAAGATTTTGTGTTTTTAAAATTGTTTTGTTCGGCTCTGTAACCTACTCTGAAATCTTGCGATATAGGGCTGTTTATAAGTGTTTTAAATATAGTAAATAAATAAGATATTATTTCAGACAGTATAGCAGTCCTCCTAAAAAGACTATTTTATTGCCCTCATCTCATGGAATTGGTGGGCTTAGTGTTGCCATGCTCCCACTACTTGAGACCGAGGGGGTGTCCTTGTAATGTCATAAATGCAGGACAGGCTTGGGAGGGGGTACTAATTGTGGAAGGTGACACAGGTTAATCTGATAAAAGAGCCGTAAATCCGGGTCATATCAGTTAAGTGGGTTGTAGGACAACACAGAAAAAGGGGGGGGACCCTAGTGGGATTGGAAAGGCAACAAACAGCACCCAGTAACCACAGCAGTTGCTACCAGTCCCACTAGACCTCAAGTCTTATGCAGCCTTTATCTATTATGCTCATGACTCAGAAATGGTAAGTGTTTCTAGGCCTCATTGCTGCTGCTGGGCCTTGGGAAGCCTCAGCAACACCAGATGGGGACGATTTTTAAAAGGTCTTGTGTCAGTATTGCTAGTCATTCTGAAACAAGAAGATTCGCAAAATTCACACTGCTTGCCTTGCTCCAAATGACATGATGAGGCCAGGCAGAATTGCCCACTGTCTCTCTTTTCAGTTTATTTTATTTATTTATTTATTTATTTTATTTATATCCCGCCTATCTGGTCGTGTCAGGACCACTCTAAGCGGCTAACAACATTAAAATCAAACAATAGATATACACATAAAAACAATTTTACATGACAAAAATATTAAACAAGATAGGAAAACTGAAGGAGAGGGAAAAGAGGGGTGTCAGGAATTATTTGATGGGAAGGCCTGCCTAAACATCCATGTTTTTAATTGGTTCTTGAAAGAACCCAGCGAGGGGGCCGCGCGAATCTCAGGAGGTAGGTTGTTCCAGAGGCAGAAGAGCCACCGCCGAGAAGGCCCGATTTCTAGTTCTTTCCTTACGGGCCTTTCTCGGCGTCAGGCTCCTCAGCCTCACCTCCTGACTCACACGGGTGATACGGGTAGATCTTGGCGGGAGAAGGCGTTCCGCCAAGTACCGAGGTCCTAAACCGTTTAGGGCTTTATATGTAAGCATCAGCACTTTAAAGTTGATGCGGAATCGGATGGGCAGCCAATGCAATGCGGCCAGAGTCGGTGAGATATGTTGGTATTTCCTCACTCCACTGAGTAATCTGGCCGCCACATTCTGCACCACCTGCAGTTTCTGCAGCAGCCTCAAAGGTAGCCCCAGGTAGAGCGCATTACAGTAGTCTAATCTTGAGATTACGAGCGCATGCACCAAGGTGGTGAGGGCCCCAACATCACGGTAGGACCACAGCTGGGCTATCCGCCTGAGGTGAAAAAAGGCGGTGCGGACCACAGACGCCACCTGGGATTCCATGGTGAGCGCTGGGTCCAGATGGCTCCCCAAGCTGCGGACCCCATCCTTGGAGATCTCCCAGGCATTACTATTGTCCTGCTTGATGAAGAATGTGATCTAGAAAATGTACAACTGTCTTCTGGAGCTGCATATTGCAGTTGGTGAGCACATTTCCAAGGAAGCTTTTGCTTGTTGCAGTTGTCCATCTCTACGTACCGTGCTTCTGAGGAACCTCAGTGGAGTGGTCCAAAGCATTTCACCTATTTGTTTCATTTCTGTAGATGGTGCATCATTAGACACTACTCCTGCTGTAAGCCCAAGGAAAACCACATCAAGATGGTCAAGTACAGACTTATCCTGCTGAGGCACGGTGAAGGTGCTTGGAACAAAGAGAATCGCTTCTGCAGCTGGGTGGACCAGAAGTTGAGTGAGCGCCCACCCTTAGTACCTCCGTCTTGTCCGGGTTCAGGCTCAGCCCGTTCTCCTGCATCCATTCCAATACGGTCCCCAGGCAACGCTGAAGGGACAGAACGGCATCTCCTGCAGTTGGAAAAAAGGAGATGTAGAGCTGCGTGTCATCCGCATATTGATGGCACATCGCTCCACACCCCCTGATGACCCGCCCCAGCGGCCTCATATAGATGTTAAACAGCATTGGGGAGATGATCGACCCCTGTGGGACCCCACAATTGAGGCTCCACGGGGCCGAGACATTCTCCCCAAGCTGTACTCTCTGGGGGCGGTCCTCCAAGAAGGAACGGAGCCAGGCGGAAGCCTGGCCACCTATTCCCAACTCGGTGAGCCTCCCCAGGAGGATACCGTGGTCAATGGTATCAAAGGCCGCTGAGATGTCGAGGAGGACCAACAGAGACAATTTGCCCCTATCGGCCTCCCTCAATAGGTCATCACACAGGGCGACCAATGCCGTTTCTGTACCATGGCGCGGCCTGAAGCCCGACTGGAACGGATCCAGGGCATCTGTTTCATCCAGGAGCGCCTGAAGCTGATCGGCCACCACCCTCTCGACTACCTTGCTTAAGAAAGAAACATTGGCGACGGGCCTATAATTGCCAATTTCGTCCGCCGCCAAACTAGGTTTCTTTCTAATGGGCCTAATGAGTGTCTCCTTGAGGGCAGAAGGAAATCTGCCTTCAAGGAAAGACCCATTTATTATTGCAGTGGCCCATTCCGTTGTTGAAGGCCTGGCTGCCTTGATTAGCCAGGCCGGGCAAGTCAGACCAATTCCCTCCTCCCTGGTCTCCCCCTTTGGGTATGATGCTGCTGGCCACATATAGGCACCATCACATGAAGACAGGAAGCCCTCTTGGCAGCAGGGACTGAGTGGAGATGGATGCCCCGGTTTCAAACCCATCTCTCTCATACAAATCAGATTTCTTATTTGCCTATTGCTGACCACCCTCAGATTTGTCTCCCAAGAGAGAACTGGAGAAAAAGAGCAACTTCTTTGTCTGATCCACATCTGCTTTGAGATGTGGTAACTCTTGACAGAGTATGGGGTGAAGGTCAGTTGTAACGGTTCGCTTAAAGCCACAGAGTAAATTTGTAGTTTATTCTCACGTCATTAATAGTTTGTTGAAAGTGCTGTTGTCGCAGACCAGCTCTTAATGGCCTTGTCCTTTCTGTCTTCACTCAGGAAGAGGCATACGAATACAGGATATCTTAAAAGATGGAGAAAATCTAACTAAGTTTCTTCTTGAAGACATAGGCCTTTCTGATCTTGTTGTTTATCACTTGATTAATGCACAAGTGCGACCAGAACAGGTACGTTAGTGAAATATTGCTGGAAAAGGTATGTGTGCAGAGGCATGTGCATATGTGTGTGGGTTCATGTGCTCTCATTGTCCAAAGGGTACTTAAAATACTATGAATACAGGTTCCAAGATAGCAACCACTTGAAATTCAACCATGAAACAACCTATCTGGCAAACGTATAACCAGCGGTAGCCAATCACAGATCAGGTAACTCCTGTAATACAAATATCTTCATTAGGTCTCAAGGCTGGCCGAAAAGAAGACCCTCATTGGAAGAATGGAGGTTACGCTTTAAAAGTACCCAGCTCCTCCTTACCCTCACAGAAGCAGGATCCAGAACAAAGGGGGGAGAGAAAACTACACAGGAGCAATCTCTTAAGAAATGTAGAACCTGGGTAAAAGAGTGGGCAACAGGTAGCTCATGGGCTGCATGAGACCATTCCCCCCCCGAGGCCAAAATGCACCCCCTCAGTGCACCAGCTTCAAAATGCCTCAAAACAGTTCCTTTGCAGGGGGGGGAATACGTTTTGCTATGTTTTTTGGTGGGTCCCACAACCCCTCCCATATCCAGCCCTCAAAATTCAATTTCAAAAGAATTAGCTATTTGAGGTCACGAGGGGATATTTTCAGAGAAAAATGATACTTCTGTTTAAGAGAGAGAGAGGGAGATGGGTGTGTGTGGTCTCTGGGCCTCTAGATACTGCTTACCCCTGAGATGGGCCACAGGAGGGACTTCTGACTTCACAGATGGTCGCCAGGTGCCGGGCATATTGTAAGTACCTAGACGTCTAGCCAGCTGGCTGGATAGCTCAGTGATTTAGGCATCTGGCTAGGTTAGGAGTTCAATACCCCACTGTTCATCCCAGAAGAGCCAGCCTGTGTGGCCTGTCTCCTTAGCAACGGAGAGGCAGGAGATTAACTGTTTTAACCTTTACTTTGCTGTGGGTTCCACAACATTCAGGTGTAGTACAGCCATTGTGAATGTGAGCCATGGTTTACAAAGCCATGGCTTGAAAAATGGTTCATTCATGTCTTGCTTTTTGGTAATTCTTTAGCTGTGAGCACAGGACAGGGGCATCTGTGTCTCTCCAGTACCTGTTGGACTGGAGTTTTCCTCACCCTTTTCCAGTCTGGGACTGTGGACGTAGAAGTGTGGGACCATGAAAATGGTTAATTCATCGACATTTGGAGTTCTACCAGTTTCACACTCTGATTTAGGTAGCCAGACTATAATATTTTATCCAGAACAAAATATAATTGGGCATAATGGTGATATAACAGCCAAATATTATTAAAAGTTGCTTTTATTGCTCTGGATGTCTGTTGCTGAGGTTAATTCTTGGCCGTGGAAATGCCCAGTAAGGAAATTTTCATCCATGACGAGACCTGGCTTGGAAATTCCTTTGTAGTTGGCTATGCATCATTTTATTTCAATGGAAGTGTGAATGGGACCAAAATGCTGTGTAAGAGGAATGTTAAAATTCACTCTGGTGTCAGCAAGGGCAGAGGTAGAAGGGTATTGCCAGGGCATCGCCTCTCATGAATAGAGTAGACCATTGAAAGACAGATCTTGAATTCTTCAATTCTTTATGAATTATTCTACTTCATGAATAGAGTAGACCACTGAAAGGCAGATCTTGAATTGTTCAAGAATAGTAGCTTTAAAAAAATTATCTTCTGGTCAAAAGTTGCAATCTCAGATTTTTCTCAGAGCACCTTCCCTAACAGATGAATTTTCACTGTCCTTGTGATAATAGTTTTTCAACTAATGTGGTCTTTCAACTAATGACGTTTAAGCAAACATTTGTTCCTAGAGGAAATCCCAACATGCATAGAACAGCCTAAAACGTAAGCACTGCTGCACATCAAATTAACTGAACAACTCAAAATACCAATATCTGAATTTTCCCTTTTATAATAACGAAGATAGATGGTAAAAGGGCAAGAAGAAGGATTTATCCCACCCATGTCCCTGACATTCAGTCTATTTTGTGAAGATAATTTTGTCCGCATGGAATGGTACCATTCAAATATATCCCCCCCCCTGTCCCATCTAGAGACCACACTGCAGTTCATGATAAGTCCTATTACATGATGAGCAGGTTGGGTAGATTGACCATCTCTCTTCATTAAACTGGATACAATTGTGAAATGTGCAGTGAGCAGAAAAATATTTTCTATTTTCAAATTTGCAGATTATTTGGGTTTGTTGTTATTGTTTTCTCCATCCGTGGAGGGATGTTAATTTTTCCTAAACCCACCCTTGTAGAGAGAATTACGTGCCAGATGTGAGGCACCTGCATTTTTATGTGCAAGTAAAAAAAGAAAGAAAGTGAGGCTTCCTTGCACCAGTGCTCAGACAAGTTACTGGTTTGGCCTCCAGTTTCCTAAATCTATCCACCAGCCAGTATGGCCAGTGGACAACCTAGTTTGGGGGTTCTGAGACCTGTAATCTCAAACTGTAACTTATCCATGTTCTGCCCTGCACACTCCACGTTTAACATACGATCTTGTTTAACCCCAGCAATAACATCAGACAAACTGGCAGTGTCAGCAATTCTGTGCCAAGCAACCTGAGGGCCATTTTGACTAAGAAATGAGATATGGGTCAATCTATACAGTATATTTATAGTCTGTACTACGTTAGAGGTGCTTTGTTGTTGTTCTAATACATGACATCTGAGGCCTTCCTGTCCTTCCGTTGAACACAGTTTGATCCTTAGCCAAATAGGAACACCAAATTTAGATGAGCAGCCTCACCAACCTGTGCAAACTGTCTACAGTTCTTAGCAGGGCTCCATTGCAATTTTGTCAGTTGTGCATTGGATCTTGCTTGATCCTCTACACACTAACATCTTGATGGTTTTCAACTATCATTGAAAGACGAGGAGTGACACCCCACCCTCCCATATTCAGCATTGGATTGTTATAGAAATTGAACTGGCTGTGCAGGAATCGTCTTGTGTTAGAAACAGAACATGATCATGTTTGGAGCAACATTACCTTGATAATGAGTTTTCACACCACACAAAGCTTTATTTTCCTCCCCATCAGGAAAAATCTGTTTTTTCTATGGAATTATTGAAAGAGCTGCCAGGGAGCTTCCTACAGGTCCGGTCAGCACCCACTCAGTGGAACAATCCAGCAAAGATCACACAAGCCAGCTACGATGTGCAAAATCCTGGCAGAGTGAAAAGAAAGCTCGTTAATTCTATCTCCTGCTGGCCACAAACAGTCACACAGATCCAAATTACTAGGTGAAAAAACAGAGGGGGGGGGAGAGAAAGGAATGGTGCCATTCAGCCTGAGTTCTTCTCTTGTACACACAGTCAGAAAGGCTTTCGTTCACCCAGCCTGATTCAGCAGGCCTCACATTTGTAAAGCCATTCTTCTCACGGCTCCCCAACCACAGGGATAGAAGGGGCAATGACAGTCAAGGCTGAATCACACACAAAACCACAATTAAGGTAGAGGAACATTCAGCATTACTATGGGATGCTTTGCTGCTTGGCTTAATCATATATCCTGCCCCGCCTTCTTTTTTTAAAGGCTGTTTATGAAGAGAGAATGTAGTAAACAGGGTACCGTTCACAGAAAGGCATTTGATTCTTTGGCAGAAATCTCAACACAGCTGAGGTACTGACCTCATGAACACCCTGGGAGTGCAGGAAATGACACATATGAAAGCTAAAGCTAATCTAAAGACCAACTAACTGAGAAAATATTTTGTTCCTCCTCTTAAAAGTACTTGCTGAACAATGGCACGCTGATAAAATTACTGGAATTTATTTCTCAACTGGGGCTTTCAGGTTGCAGGAGAGATAACAGGCTATTGCTGACTCACATTTAAAAAAAAAACTCCAGGAACACTGTATGTCTGCAGCCAAAAAGACAAGGGAAACTGGATGGGAAGGTTTAATATTTTTCTAACCCTTTGCTCTTCAGGGATGTACTCTGAGTTGTGACTTTGTTTTGTTTTTAAAAAAAAATCTTTGGCATGTAAATGGCATTGTGTGAACTCATTAGTTTCCGTAAAATGATGTGTACATCCTGTTGTCATTGCTGTTTCTTAATATAAGCTTCTCTGATGTCCTTGGCTGGATGATTTAAAGCCCATCCATCAAGGAAAATTTTGGTTTCATTGTTCTGCAGCAAAGTGCACTCAAGACAGATCACAATAATTAAATTATAGAATACAAATCATTTAAAAAAGCAAGAGTAATATATAAATTTCCCCAGCAATCTGAACACTAATTATCCTCTACCTCCAAGATAGCTGCTACCAATTCCACACAAATATCTTTAAAAAAACAAAAAACAAAGTAGGGCTCTGTGAACTGTGTAAAAACAATGTGAACTGAATAAATTAAGGAATCCTGGCATGATTTATTTGGGTTTTGTACATTTTATTTCACAGACTTTGCTGCTCTGCACCATTAATATGGATTTTGCTTGAATGCAAACCTGTCTCCTCATTGATTAATAAAATTAAAATTGTGTTGATGCAGGGAGATGTGTAAGGAGCTCAGCCATGCGTTCGAATTTTGCCCCCACCACTTGTACATCTACATTAGCCACCCCTTTCTGCAAACACTGCTTAATCTTCTCATACCGCCTTTGCTTATAATCTTTTAAGCATTCTTACCCATAAATGTGAGATTCTTAGAATAGTAAATATTTTGGCTAGTAACACATTCTGCACATTTTCTTTTTCTTTTCTTTTTTTCATAGAACTGTGCTAGATTTGACCAGATGGTATTTCTCACCTAACTAGCATTTTTCTCTATTCTGATGAGGAACATGCCTTCGAAAAGTCTCTAGAAAATAGATTCTATCCCTGACACACTACACCATGTTAGTTTTCAGGTGCTAACTCTGTTTCCTTTTATGAAATAACCCTGGTAAAAGTGCACAATGTAGCACGACCATACGCATTTGTTTCTACATTCTGTATTCCCAGAACTCTTCCTTGCCCTACGAAGCTGCATTTAGGCACACTTTGTTGCAAGTTTTGAGAGTTTATACACATAACAGAAGTGTGAGCATAAAAAACCACACCGATCGTGAATAGATTCTCCTTTGGTATACATATGTAGATTTGTTTGTACTAGCAGTTGAAAAAATATTCATTTAGCCACCCCAAAACTTTAAGAATGTTTACTGTATACCTTGTTGAAAAATAAGCTAACAGTACTTGAACATTTTACTTCATATAAATTTCTGCTTGACAGACTTATAATAGTTTCACAACAGCTTCCTTAATAACATACGGTACTAATAGCAAACAAAGCCTCATGCTGACCGACAAAGAGAAAAAACCTCATCCTGTCACTTCTTCTATCTGGCAGTTAATTCCTTCAAACATCTACGGCTAGCACTAGACAGAATCTGAGTGGTTACAATGTTCCACTATATAGATAACATATCTCAATCATTCTTGTACACATAATCATATGTAAATGCTCGGTTGCACAATTACTGTATATATTCTAGCATAGTTGTGAATCTTTAAGGCTGAAATCCACATTCCTTATTGCCCAGGTAGACTTTTCCTACTCAGAAATGGTTGCAGAAAGACCTATTGTACAAAGATGCCCAGTGTCTTACATATTTTATTTTTATTCTCCCACACTGAGAGTCGTAGTTTTTTAGTCGTGTCTGACTCTTCGTGACCCCATGGACCAGAGCACGCCAGACCGTCCTGTCTTCCACTGCCTCCTGGAGTTTGGTCTAATTCATGTTTCTTGTTTCGATGACACTGTCCAACCATCTTGTCCTCTGTCGTCCCCTTCTCCTCTTGCCTTCACACTTTATATCAGCATCTTTTCCAAGGAGTCTTCTCGTGAGATGGCCAAAGTATTGGAGCCTCAGCTTCAGGATCTGTCCTTCCAGTGAGCACTCAGGGTTGATTTCCTTTAGAATGGATAGGTTTGTTCTCCTTGCAGTCCAGGGGACTCTCAAAAGCCTCCTCCAGCACCACAATTCAAAAGCATCAATTCTTTGGCGGTCAGCTTTCTTTATGGTCCATAGACAATACTCATAGACAAAATGTGCTTTACTGGGTTAGGCTGCATGCTCAGGCAAGCAAGAAACTAAAATCATGTCATTCTGCTTGGTTTGCTGCCCCCACTGTGCTAATACGTCAGATGTCTCTATAACATGCAAATGGAAATTATAACTGTAAATATACAGAGTTGCCTGTTCATATCCATTTTGCACTTCCGGTCAAGGTTGCATGGAGGGTGTGCTTACCCTAATAACCCTATGGCATTATACTCTTGCCAGCAAATGTCTAGGAACTACTGTTGTTTAAAAGGGAAGGGAACAGGGCCAAAAGTGCCAGATAGTCTTTCTTTTGCTTACAGGAAGAATGGGGAAGCTTGTTCATGCAAAAGGCCAAACTAGCTTTCTGAGAAATTCTTGGGGCCACTTTCCAATGTTGGCCAAAGCAAAGTCATTTAACATGCTAGCTGGGTTATTCTGGGATCTGTGGTCCCAAAAGTAGCTTTTCCAAGCTCTGCATATTACTGCATTGACTGGAAATAATCTCAAGTAATCAAAATGTGTGGTTTATATTTTGATTACAGTTTGCTTTTGGAGTTCCAGACTTGACTTTGAAGGATATTGCCTGCAGCCGGACCTTGCTGGATCGTTTTATTATCTTCAGAAGCCCCAGTGGCTCTCAAGCTGTGCATAGCTCAATGTGTGCCCTTTCACAGGACAACTTGCAGAAGGTTGAAGACTCCCTGTATGCAAATACAGACTTCTTCAAACTTTTCCATATGGTGAGTACCAGCCGAAGGCACTACTTTGTATTGATTATAATGGTGGCAGCAGTGATAGTTTGTGTGTGTCTTCTGTGTTTTAAGAATTCTTTCGGTGCTCTCCAGATGGGTGGGACTACAACCCCCATCATCCACCAGTGGCTAGGATAGCTTCAATGGTGGGAGTTGTGGACCAACACATCTGAAAGACGCTGACTTGGACAAGGCTGTGTTCAGATAGTGCTACTCCAACTATATTTGTCCTAGGTCAGTGGTTCCCAACCTTGGGTCTCCAGATGTTGTTGGACTACAACTCGCAGAAATCCTGGCCAGCACAACTAGTGGTGAAGGCTTCTGGGAGTTTTAGTCCAAGAACATCTGGGACCCAAGGTTGGGAACCACTGTCCTAGGTGAAGAACTGCAGCACATAGATACCGTATTTTTCCGTGTACACAAAATGACTCCCTAATTTTGACACTTGCTGGAGGCGGAGGAACAGTTAATGGGCAACTGCTCCTCCACCTCCATCTCTCCTGCTCCTGCTGCCTCCGCTGCCTGCCCAAGCAGCAAGAGGCGCCCGAGTGCATGTGAGTGCTCCTTTGCCTCCACCTTCTGCTGCCTCTGCCACTGGAGGGGACAAGGCGGATGTCAGTCGTACTGGAGGAGGCGATTGGGCGGGTGAGGGAGGCAGCAGCAAGAGGCACTGAGCGTGTGTGACTGCTCCTTTGCCTCTGTCTCTGTCTCCTGCTTCTGCTCCTGTTGCCTCCGCCACCGTGTGAGCCCTGGAGGAGGCAACTGGGCAGTGGCGGCAGCAGCAGCAAGAGGAGCCCAAGTGGGTATGTGACTACTGCTTTGCCTCTGCCTCCTTCCGTGTACAAAACGACTCTCAATTTTCCTCTAATTATTTTAGGAAAAAGTGTTGTTTTAGACACAAAAAACTATGGTATTCTGCTAGTGGTCTTGGGGCATAGGAAATATAAAACAATTCAGGAATATAAAATAGCTGTGCTGGAATTCCAGTGGAGTTCTGACTTCCTCGAGAAAACTTCTCTGAATAGTAATGTTGCATTTGAAAAAAAAAAAAAACTCCTCAGCTTTTGCCTTCTGGGGACCTGCCAGGAGCATTTTAGCCAGTAAGAACTAAATGAGCTCCTATGCTTATGTGTTGTACACCACGAGTGCAAAAGCACTGGGATGCCTGAAAGGCCACCTGGGCATTTGTGCACTTTTTCATATGTAGAATGGCAACAGCAAATTCAATTATCCAAGTGTGGATCCCCGCTGTAACTATAACTGCTGGATAGCTCAGTGGTTTAAGTATCTGGCTGTGGAGGCAGAGGCTGGGAGACTGATTCCCTCACGGTGCCTCCTTAACAGGAGCTGGACTCGATATCGATAGGGTCCCTTCCAACTCTGCAGTTCTAAGATTATTATTATAAAACAAAATTATCTGCACAATATATGGAGAGCCACAAGGTTTATGGAAGCCTAAAACAAACTTTAGAAGAAGAAGAAAAATTGTATTGATTTCAGAAATGTAAGCATGGGATGATGGAATTACTCATTTCCCTTTTTTCTATTAAAGATCTAGTTTTAAACTGTTTGCAAGGAGAATTGTCAACAGCTTAGAACGGTGTCCAAAGCTTTTACACTGGCAACAGCCTTATATTCTGCCCAGAGACATGACCATATCATTCATCTGAAGATGTGTGCTCCAAAGCTGATGAAAAAAATAAAAGCTGGTTAGTCTTGTACAGTAGGTGCTACATGGCTGTTTCAGATGCAAACTATTATAACAAACTAATCCTTCCTATATTACCTTATTTCTAACAGGCGCGTTGCTATTAATTTTAGTACAGCCTGCTGACAGTGTTCCTGTTTCTCCCTCTCTTCTTTCATACCGTGAATCCAAGAAAGCTTGGATGGGTTAAGTCATCCAAAGAAGATAAGGAAATATTTTAAAGGGTTTTTTGGGGGGGTGGTTATTGCTGTTGGAAGCATAGGTGTATAAGGAGGAAGGAGACAAGAAGAAAACTCACCAGATGAGAGGGAGGGAAAGAATGAGAGATGGAACAAAGAGCTGACATAGGGATGAAAGGAGAAGCTGGTTTTGGAGTTAGAAAAAGTCGAGGGAGGTTGGGGGAAATTGACAGCAGATCTTTTCCTTGGAAAAGGTTTACAAGAATTCTTTGTCTGTGAGGCAGGAATGAAAGGGAAGGTTTTTGGGAGTGAGTCAAAGGGCTGGTGGTGCTAAACGGCACATTCAGAGGGAGAATAGTAGAGTTTTGTCTGGCCAGGAAAAGGAGTAAGAAAGTATGCATTTATAAATGTCAGAGTCAGCACATTCTTTAGATTTTCTCTATAAGTGCTCTCCAGACCAGTACCAGGGACGAAAACGTGGCCAGTAGGAAGAAGCCCAAGGCTGGAGGGTGAAGGTGCAGGCCCGATAAAAGGCAAGTGAAGCGAAGGTTTCCACAGGAGAAGTTTGGGGCACTTCAGTTAGCCGCTTCATTTATTTTGGCGGCTGCTCCATCTTAAGGAGCTTTTTGACTGGGAGTGCAAAGCTCCTTTCAGACACAGAAGGTCTTCACAGTCCCTCCATTCTTCTGCCTGTGAGAAGGTTCAGGGAAAGCCTGACCAATAACCTGAGGCTGTCTTGGGTTGTGGCCATTTCTATTTACTATATACATGATAGGCTATAAATTCCAGCCTGCACTCTCTCATAAAACTGTCAGTTTGTCAGGTTTCTGACAGCTTGTGAGCTTTCTGCTGCAATTGAAGCTTTTCTCTGCTTTCATGTCATTCTGCTGTCTGGAAGGAATGATGCCTTGAGCGGGGTAGCTAGTTCCAGCAGATGCTTTTTAACCAGCAATCTGATTTAAGGCAGCCTCATTTTACAGCCTTGCCCTGGGATATGAAACCTGAACTCAATGAACGGATGCTGAAGACTCAGCAGCAGTGAGAAAGACTGCATTTCTGAGAGCTCATTCCAACCCACACTCGGATGAACTGAATAATTGTTGCAGTCTGGCAGGAAATCCATTTTTAACAAGCCTGTTAGGGTTGCTGTAAAATAACATTGGCATTGATTTCCTGGTCTTATGTAAAAGAAATAGAGGAAAGGATGTCATCAGAGCTATTGTGAAGGGGTTGTTCACAAATATTAGCAGGCTTCAGTAAAAGCTACTTCTCTGACCAAGTAGGTTTGCCCATGTCCATCGGTCATTTATTATCGCTTAATATGGTCGCTATTCCCCTATATTGAAGAGCTCTGTTGCTGTAACCGTTTGGTAAACCGTCCAGCCTGGGGGTCCCACTGCTCATTGTTCTCTCATAATTTGTCTCCATGAAAAAAGGAGACATCTACATAACTAGGTAGGGCTCAAATTCAACTTCTCCTATATAACAGGGAGAATTTTGAACTGGGCTTGGATGAACTTGTTTTTCTCTTCTGAAACAGGGGTTGCCAAATGTTGTAGTGAGAGGCAAACAGCACCCATCACTATCAATTCTAGATAGAAAATCCTACTTAGAGCTCTGGGAAAAAAATCTGTTTTTTAAATCAGGTTTAGCACGTTTGAATTGATTTTAAAAATTCATACTAAACATTGTAGAGGAAAGTACATTCCTTTCTTTGATGTCCCTCTTACAACTGAAAGGGACAAAATTGTCACTGTCCTTTATGACACTGTATCTTGACTAGAACTCCTGTCACCTCATGGAATCATGTCTAACTGAATTATATATGTATTGAAAATGAATACATGAATTTGAGAAACAATTAGAGGCATACATACAGGAGCCCTGCGAGCCAAAAGAGACCGATCCCTTGTCTTACTGGGCTGAGAAGGAGTCTGCTTGAGAAGGCCCACCAACTAGTGTGCCCAATGAGAGAGAATGTTCTTTCAGGCAGGGGGCAGTGTCAGTCCACACCGCCCTCCCCTGGAACCTGGATCTGTAAAAAAAACTTAGTTTCCTTAAGGTCAACCTACTATTGTTGGGCTTCCATGGGGTCTCCTTTAAGTAAAAGAGAATGGCACATTAGGTATGCCATGCTTCCCGTCTGCTGCCATCTCCTTCTACCTCTTTAAGTCTTCCAACTGCTACTCCAGTTATGTGCTCACTCGCTCAACTGTACTGTATCCCATGCTGTTGGCACAGTTCCCTCCTATCACAGCCTATCAGCTCTTCCATTCTGCCTGCCAGTGCTGCCTGCAGGGTATTTGCCCACTCCTCAGTGTAATCTGTCCTCTGCTGCTAACATTCCTACTGTTCAGGGTTCCATCAGCACGCCCATAAGAGTAATTTACCTAATACCTAGGCACTGCTGGCTGTTAGTGTGCATTATTTTTGTCTGGCACAATGACTGGGAAATTGTCAGAGGACAATGAGAAATCTTTTTAAAGCATTTTGCCAGTTTATATATTTTTTAAAAGGAAAATAATGATTATATAGTACTCATACTGACTATAACAGAGTTCTGAATACCAGTGGTGCCTTGACTTACTAACTTAACTGGTTCCGGGACTCCGGTCATAATTCGAAATGGTCGTAAGTTGAAGCACCATTTCCCATAGGAATGCAATGAAATGCAATTAATCCGTTCCAGCCGAAGGAAAAAAGTCACCAAAAAACCCAACAAAAAACATCACTGCAAGACACATCGGAAACATGATTAATCCGTTCTGGCTGACGGGGAAAAGAAAAGAAAAGAAAAGAAAACCATGCAAGATCCTTCAGAAATGCAAAAAAAAAAAAGCAAAGCAAAAAGCAACCAAACCGCACAAGACCCATCGGAAATGAAAAAAAGCAAAGCAGAAAGCAAGCAAACCGTGTAAGACCCATCGGAAATGCCAAAAAACCCCACCAGAAAGCAAACAAACCCCCCAAGCACCTTCGGAAATGGGGGGGGACCAAAAACAAACAAACAAACCCTGCAAGACCCATCACAGCATAGAAACATAATCCCATCCCCCAGCCCAAAACCACACTGCAAAACTCAGTCAGAACAGCCAGTTATTAAAAAGCAAAAAGCAACACCTTACCTTACCAGGCAGTCCGAAGCCTCCTCCGATCGCACTAACTCTAACCGTTGGGGCGAAAGAACTACAAAGAAGCAGCCTCTTCGCCTACCAACAGTTAGCAATTTGAATTCCTCACCTTTTTCCCCTGCCTTTTTTTGTTTGTTTGTTTGGTTTAACTTGAAGCTCCGGCTGCAAGTCGAAGCAAAATTTTGCAGTTGGAGCTGGTTGTAACTAGAAATGGTCGTATGTCGGGATGTTCGTAAGTCAAGGCACCACTGTATCCAGAAACTTCAATTTTTTAGAATTCTGAATCTGAAGGACTGTAACTTTGAATTCCAGTTCCAAATTCCCAATCCAAATATTAGTGCTAATACAGATCCCTATTTATAAAACATTTAATAGACAATAGGAAGTGATTAGTTCCTTCACAGTGGAGGTGATTAGGGTCCAATTATGTGACAAAAATTCAGATGATTAGATTATTATGTCTACAGGAAACTTTTATCCACGTTGAGGCCTAGCCAGAAAGTCTTAAGCTTTCTGATGTATTTCTGCTCAGTAGCTTTTCTCTGCTCGATGACTGCTACTCAGAGAAACAGTTGCTCTGGTAAAAGTATGTTGTTTCTTAAATGGCAATTATGGAACCTAGAAGACAGGATATTCTAAATCAGATGAATGATGTTACGTGTTGTTTTCTGCATTCAGGCCATAAGATGTTATGGTAGCCATTCTGTAAATTCAAATTTCCCTCTTTTCTAATATGCTTGGATTTGGTGGTGACAAGTCAGGTAGTTATTGTGTGTGTATGAAGGTGTATACCAGTTGCTCTGGTAAAAATATTATGTGTATACACATTCACACAAATACATGCACACACAAAATGAAATGTGATTGTGTTATAAGTGACTTCATGTAGCATTAAAATCATGTTATTTGCCTGTGTCTTCTTCCTTTTCTGCCTAAAGAATGTGAAGAGATTATTAAAAGTTCAAACAGAAGGCCAAACAAAAAATAAAACCGTACTGGGGAATGGCTGAACATTTCAGCTAACCTAAGTCACTGGTGGGAGGTTGTGGAAGAGCAAGGGAATGAACAGAGAGCAATATGGATTAGGTGAATTCTTAACATTCCTCCTTTGCCCTGTAAAATCACTCACCCCAAAGTTTCCTGGCTTGACTGGCCTTTCTCACAAGGTGACAGACAGTGTAGGAATATGAGGGGCCTCCCTTACAATCTGTGGTATGTGTGATGCCGCAAAATGATGCATTCTGAAATAATTTCATGAAGCAAGAAGGACAGATACCTAGAGGGTAGAAAGAGTGGATCATCTCTGTGTTTGGATTAGGTGCTTCCCACAGTTTGTAGGCTGGGAACAAGTACAGCTCCCACATTCCAGCTCACCGTAGGCATTTCTGTTCACCATCCAATAAAGAGAAGCATGTTTCCTTCAGATTCCACGAACACTTTGACACAAACTAGAGGTGCTCCTAACTGTTGTCAACACCAAGAAATGTCTGCTATTCCTCTTATTGGAGGGGTGGGTATTTCATTCAGCTCTCAAGACTGATCTCATGTGGGCCCTCAAACTCCTTTCAAAAGGCCTCTGCAAGAATACCTTTTCCTCTCCCCGGCAGGAAGGCATCTGTTGTCTATGGGGAGCCATGTTTAGTTTAGTTCAGAGTGAACTTTCCCAAGGAGAGCTCACCCTCCTTTCAGCAGAGGGCGGGAGGAGGAGGAAGAAGGAAAGGAAAACGAAGGAGGAAGGAGGGGTAACACTGAAAGAGAAAGAAGAGTTGGCTCATCTACATTGGGTTCCAGATCAGGTCTCTGCCCCCTAGCTATACCATCCCTGATATATTTCTCCAAGGGAATATCGATTTTAGCAGTAAAAATATTTACCACCCCTGCAATACTATATATATATATATATTAAAAGATAACTGCATATTTGGGTGGCAAGAACCTAGAGGGGAATCTGCTCTGCATTCTCATTTTCCAGAAAGAACCTGGTCACATTTCTCAGGCTGTTGCCCCGGGTTCGCTGAGGATTGTTCACTAGCTAAATACTTGCACCACTGTTGGTCAACAGAAATCTTGCTACAGATGGAGTATGGCTCTTATGCAGAATGGCAATTCTTATCCCTTTGTATTATAGGGTATATAATGTATACATATACTGTATGTTCAGTGGGGTTTCCTGGTATACTCTGATAATTCATCTCATATTTTGGTCCACTTTTGGCCCAGTCAGGTTTGACATATTTTGCAACGATGTACAGGTAATCGCAAACCAGCCCAACCCATTTCCATGGCCATCCACACATTTTGATCACTGGTGGGGCTTCTTTTTTAAAAAGTGCAGATAGAATTGCTCTGTTTCAGTTTGGTTTTAGCTGGTACTGATCCGAAGCAGCACTGATGAATATTTCTGCCAACAATTTAGCAATATGCCATTTATAAATACATTTTGAAAAATTCTAGCTTTCCTCCACTAACACATGGATGGGGAGACAGGAGAAAACATGGAGGGAGATCTCCCCCCCCACCGCTGCCTTCATTCTATAGAATCAAGTGTTATGTCACTTGCATAGCAAGCCAGTTCAGTAGTATGTCATTACCTTTTTTTAAAAAAAATCCAGTTTTCATCCACTCACTGCATGGGGGAGCAGGACAGGACATGGAGGGAGCTATCTCCCACTTTTCTTTAGAATCCAGTACTTTTTTCACTTGGGTGGCTAATGTATTCAGTGATATGCTACATACCAACACATTTTTCTTTTAAAAAGTCTGGCTTCCCCCTAGTCCTCTTGGAGGGGGAGACAAGAGAAGATGCAGGGGATGGAAGTGGGAGCGGGAAGAAAGGGCTAAATAGGGTGGCTTTGAGGTGTGGTTTCTTATCCTGAAACCATTCAGTGCTTATGTGGATGCAAGGAACACTTTAAATGGCATACTGCTCTTTGAAGCACCCCCTATTTAATCCAATACAGCTCAGGATAACTTGACTGTCTGGCCATCGTCTCACTTAGCCCCCTGCAGATGTTTTGGAGATTCACAAGGGGATGGCTTTTGCTGTTTAATTAAACCATAGAAGTAATGATAAAAAAAACAACCTTCAAAGTTATAGTTACACTGCAAAACGAGTGAAGTTAGAGTTGTAATACAACTTAGCTGTACTTTTGTTATTGGAAAAGGACTGTAATTAAAGCTGCTGGCTTGCTTCTTTTTATTATTTTTCTTTCAAGGAAGCTCCTGGAGAGCTGAGAGTTTTGGAACAGAAACATCCAGCTTTGAGAGCAGCTAGCTAATTGGTGATGTGGAGCTAAAGGGCAGTGTCACGGACTGCTCTTGATGTCATCCTTCATCTGGGCAACAGTCTGCTGCACTCTGCTGTCCAACCATCCCCAAAGAGAAAGGTGTCCGTTCATTGACTGAAGCGGGCAGTGCCTCTGGGTCTGCCATCGCCAGAGAAGAGAGAGGCATGCACTCTGGCAGGCAGCTTTTTAAAAACACCTGGCTCTGAAGGGTCCTCTGGGAGCCAAGCTGGGAAGGGTTTCTAGTGAATTCACTGGACGTGGCCATCACTTCTTTGGGGGTATTTCCCATTGTAACTTGCCTCTGAGAGGAGCTTTGTGAGCCAAGCATTAAAAATAGCCCCAGGTGGCCCTTCCTTCTCCAGCAGTGGCAGCATGTGAGGAGGGGTATGGACAGAGGTGCTGCTGGCTCTAAATGGGTGGGGGGAGAGGTTGCCTTCCCACCAGGGGTGGCTGGGCAGCTCACGGACTATATTTTGTCACAGGTGCATGCATACATGCCAGCAATATTTATTTTTATTTATTTAATTTATATGCCGCCCACACTACCCAAAGGTCTCTATAAGTTGTGCTTCCTCTTTCTTCCCCTCCATAGTGCACAGTCCAGAGTATGGACCAAAAATAAGAAGCCCCAAATGGCTGGGCAGCTCACGGACTATATTTTGTCACAGGTGCATGCATACATGCCAGCAATGTAAGTTGTGCTACCTCTTTCTTCCCCTGAGTATGGACCAAAAATAAGAAGCCCCAAAAGGACGGCTATCTGTTCTAGTTCTGGAGTGGCAGCCATCCTATCCTCAAGACCGTCCTGGCTGGGAAAACAAGGTTCAAGAGGCTTGGGGGGCCCATTGTTTGGATCCTCATGGGTTGAACCATTCTTATCTTCATTTTTCTTCACTTTCAGCTTCCCACAGTCCTAGATAGTAATACGCCAGGTGTTGATCTGCGGTCATGGGGGCAAATCCTTTCTGAGGTCTCTCAGGCACTGCAAGAGGTAAGTGCTTCCCAGCAGGAATCACAGCATGGGGTTGGAATAAAAACTGAGATTCAAACTACATATGAAAAAAAAACTTTATTATTCTTTCCTTTTTGTTTCTTAAACAAAAAACATGGCCCAAAGCAAAAAGGAGTTTGCTGCTTTGGCTTTTCCTATCCATAGACATGAATCCGGTCTCTTTCCAAATCCTACTATTAAATATGGTTTTTTTTTCCCAATGGACAAGTGTTATCAATTAGGAATTGGCACTGAGACATAGTTAAATGTACAACTGCTTGGTCTGAGTTTATAATTTCCCACATGGATTATTCTTCATGATTACTCCAGCTGCCTAGTTGCCATTCCATCGTACTGTAACAATTTGTTTCTTCAGTGTTCTTCTATGTGATTACACTCGAGGCTATCATTGTTTCTTTTCTTTAGTCAAGCATGTTTGCATCCATTTATGAAGCAGAATGAACTAAGGTGAGAAGACCGCACTGAACTGTACCATGTTAGACTGCAGGTGTGGAGGTGTGAACTGCTTTTTAAATATATTCATTTTAAAAAAATCCCCAAATAGAGGAAGAAACACTGTAGCATAGTTGAGAGGGGGCTGTGCTAGAATCTTTTTGTCTGATGTACTAGTTTTTTTCCATGCAGGGCATTATTTTTACAAAAAGGAGCATAAAAATGGCAAGACCTTTCTATGGACTGAAATGGTATGGTCTATTGTACATTCTTATTCTTCCATTTTGTATAAATCCTAGTTCTATTGAACTAAGGATGATCTTGGATCTGACTAGTTTATAGCACATTCTTTGTCAAACTGGTGCGTCCCCCACCTCCCCACCTGCTGGATTACCCCTCTCATCATGTTACTCCCTGCACTGGTGTCCCTAGCACTTTTATTTCCTTAGCAGAGTCTCTCATTGGGATGCTTTGTTTCACTCCAGCTTGCACGTAGGCCAAGTGTACAGGACTTTCTGTCGGCTCTGCAACCGCTTCTGCAAAATGGAGAGCCAGTATCTTTACGGCAGGTGATGAACACTTCATCTGATCTTCTCTGCGGTTATCCAGAGGGAGGGGGTTCCAGAGTACTCTCTCTCAACTGGTACGAAGATAACAATTACAAGGCTTTCCTTGGGGTTGATGCCACAAAGAAGGAGTCTGTTTATTTGTATGACAACACAACCAGTAAGTATCACCTTGGCCTATGGTTTCATGTTTAGCTCTGTGGTCTCCAGTCAAGACTGACAATGCTACTGCTTATATCACTTGGTTTTTTTTTCACAATTTGGCTTGAACAGTTTAGCCTTAAGTCTGTGCTAATAGTGTCATACAACTGGAATCAATAGAGCAGGAATCTGGTAGAAGTATATGTTTGCTAACAGTGCACAGAAACCATTACTTGAGGTTTATCTGGCATTGATATTGACAAGCACTAGGTGTTTCAAGGAAAGGTACAGAAAGGTGCAAAAGAAAAAGGTGCTGGATGCTCTGCATCTTAGAGAGAGAGAAAAAAATGAGGTCCCACCCCTAGAGTAGATGTGATTTAAATCAAATTGATTTAAATCACAATTTAATTTTTTAATCAATTTAAATTTTTAAAAATCTATTATTTGATTTAAATCATGATTTAAATCAATTAGATTTTTAAAAATTGATTTTTATCCATCCTGGTGCCCCAGGAAGAAGCGGCTGGTTAACCTCTTCCAAGTACTCTGTACCTAGAAAACTCTGGACAGGGGTGCCATATGTTAGCACATGATGTTTTTTTGTGTTTTTTTCACAATTTGGCTTGAACAGTTTAGCCTTAAGTCTGTGCTAATAGTGTCATACAACTGGAATCAATAGGGTAGGAATCTGATAGAAGTATATGTTTGCATCCCATTTAAAATATTATTCCTAGTTTGTGATTTTTATCCATCCTGGTGCCCCAGGAAGAAGCGGCTGGTTAACCTCTTCCAAGTACTCTGTACCTAGAAAACTCTGGACAGGGGTGCCATATGTTAGCACATGATGATCATTATTCAAGTTAGATTGCAAAATAATTTACATGAAGCAAGAAGATTTTTAAAGAAATGCATTCTTTTTAAAAGTCTATCCTTGCTGTAAATGTTGGGGAACATACTAAAGTTACATCCCATTTAAAATATTATTCCTAGTTTGATGATGAGCCTTTGATACTGTCTAATTCAACATGCTGTATTTCTGACAGCTTTTTTCAGTGCTGCATCAAAAATTAAGCTTGGAGGGTTTTTCTGCATTTTGATTTTATAGTTTATTTGGCTGCATCTTTATTGGATCTTCTACACAGGAAAAAAATAAAGTTATCCCTGATCTCTCATATTTAGTACCTTTAAAAACTGTATACTGTATACCTTTAAAAAGTACATCTTGGAACTAAACTTAAGGTGCAATCAGATGGCTGAGAAGGCATGCACCCAATCACACCAGAAAGAGTCATTTTGATGGAATTTACCTTAAAGCAACCCTTCTATCAGCCCCCCAAAACTGAAGCCCTACAAATGGACAAGAAAAGTCCTTCTGGGGAGTTGTTCCAACTCAGCCCCCCCAAATTGAAGCCCTACAAATGGACAAGAAAAGTCCAGCTTGAGCACACTAGAGCTTGAGGTTCAGCTGGAGTGTGATTCAACATAAAAGTGTGCTCCTTAGGGACATAAGTCAAAACAGATTGCACCAGATTGCTCCACAAGCAGTCCAGCTTGCAATCTGTGTCCCTGTGTGATCACACCCATACTTCCCCATTTTGTGCCATAATAAACATCCTGTAGAAACCATACCACTTGACTTTTATTCTAGCCCTGTGAACATCTGGCCACCCCTATTCACCTGCAGCTGTAAAATGTATTTTTTTAAAGTGTCCTTTTTCCCATCTAGATTTTAGTCAATTAGTAGCATTAACATTGCTCTTGTAACTATGGGGTAGATGATTGCACTCCTTTTTGTTCCGCTTGTTGAGTTCCTAGAAGACGATGATCACTATGGCTGCAATTTCCTAGCCAGCAGATGGAAAGACAGTATCTACATGATACTGTGAACAATGAAAGTGGATTCCTGTTCTGTGACATATATTTCTTCTTCTTCTTCTTCTCCAACAGCACCCTTTTGTAACATGCTCATCCAGACCTTGGAGTCAAATCCTCTAACCAAAATAGCCTGGAGGGCTGTGAAACCACTAGTGATGGGGAAAATTCTCTATGCTCCTGATACTCCTGCTGTGAGGAAGATACTGAAGAATGTAAGAGGTTCATTGACTCCTTCCCAATGTTATGCCAATGGGCAGTGTTTTTAACTAAATAGTTAACGAGAGAGGCCCCTTCAGTAAGTGAAAACTAAACTTGCTACCAAACAGGGCCAGCCCCACTATTAAGCAAAAAGAGACAGCTTGCTTAACTAATTTTTCGGGTGTCAACTAGAAGGCAACAATTTTGTTTGTTTGTTTTAGTTTTATTTTTACTGGGAGGATGGGAAAGAGATACAGAGCTCAGAATGTTACTTGTTAAAGTAACTCATTCGGTTGCTTAATGTTTTGGATCAGTAGGACCTGTGGTTCCCTTGTTCTTTACTAATACATGACCATTACTTGTTCCGTCCTGGGAAAACAGCATGTAAATGCTTACTGGTTCCCTCAAGTGGCCAGTTCTGTTAGCAGCACATTGAAAATATTGTGATAAAACCCAGTACTGTACTGTACAAAACAAAGCTACCCTTGACATTTTCATCCCAGATGCCTTAAATTATACAACTTCTCCACACGCAGTCCAGTTAGAGATAAGGTAAGATTTGTAGTCAAAGGCATTGAGAAAGTGCCAGGTTGGCTGGAATTCTATTAACACTCATTTCTTAAAGTATTAATTTAGTGAACAAACTGAACTGTCAAAACAAAATGCCTTTCCATAGAACTCCCTCTACCTGCTGCATGTACTTTCTGAAGGCTACAGAGATGCAGATTTAGGGAATGTGCTTTAAATGTTCAATAATGTAGGAAAAAATCACTTTAGGCATGGAGGGGGCACGTGGACATTTGGCTCTAGAAAATAAGAATAGGTTCCAAATTATTTTGTAGTTAACTGTTTCACTGACATATCAGTGAATTAGCTCAGGGTGGATCATTCATGCCTTCTCTGGGGCCGGAGTGGCAGAAGCCCTTCTTTCTGAGCTTCAGACCCTAGCCACCTTGATGCTCTTTGCCAGCTCTTGGCAGGGGTCTCTGTCTTGCTCCCGGGCCAGTTCTCTGGTCATGCAGAGGATGGGCTCCAGCATCTCTTCCATGGATCCCCAGGTCTCTCCTTCCTTGATCAATCGCTTTCTGGGCATCCCAGACCCAGAGAAAACCCCAAGCCTTCACCCCCAGACTCCTTTAACCTTCTCAATGGGCCTGTCAGCTATTCCTCATTTCTCGACTCCCTGGAGACACCTGGGCTTCCCTCCTTCCGGTCTTCCCAAAAGCCCAAAATGGCTTCCCCACCTAGACAATGGGTGGCAGCGCTGAGGACAGACCTCCTCACACTGATAATGCATGTTGCTTCACTTATTTCAAAATCTGTTAGACGCATCCTGCTGCATTTGTAGCACCTTCTATTCTTTTTGCTTAGTTGAGCCTGATATCTCTCTCAATGGCCTGAGAAAACCCAGCTTCTCATGCCCTGTGTCAGATTTTACTTAGTGCTCACCACTGGCAGCATAACAGTCTCGCTAACCTACTGATGAAATATAAGAACAAATGTGGGTAAGCTGTGGGGCCAGGGGCCAATTTTGCCCATTGGAGACCCACTACAGGCTACATCCCCTCCAGAACATTCACATACAATTTTGAAAAAACACTAGAAATGCCCTCTTCTTCCTTACACAAAAACTGGTCCCACTGCCTAGCCAGAAGACTACTGCTCCAGGAGAATCAGTGATTTCCCTTTTGTGTATCTTTTTGTTTCCTGGACTGGGGACCCCAAGTATTGTCATGGGGGCCAGGTACAGCTTGTGGACTATGTGACTGAAAGCTTTGTCACCGGGTAATCCTCAAAGTGCCATACTTTTGCTCTCTGGCATTTTAGCACAGTCAATACTAAGGTATACTAATGCACATATCTTTTCCTTCCCCTCCCACAACACCTCCTTAATGCTCCAGGCCAATTCCACATTTGAGGAGCTTGAGCGCCTCCAACTCTTTACTAGAGCCTGGAAAGAAGTGGGACCTCAGGTGTGGTACTTTTTTCAAGACAGCGTACAAATGAACATGATCCGGGTATGTACAGGTGACTTGCACCGTATGAGAAAACCAGTGAAGTGTGCTGATTTATTGTGGGAAGTCAGTAGTAGCTTATGAGTACAAATGCAGCTTCTCAATAAGATCCTTGAGACCATAATAATTGCCTGACCACATCAGACTGAGCCTTCCTTTTTTCTGTTCCCAACTGCAGTTGCCTAGCTTGCCTTGCAAAGGAAGGCGTAGAGTTATCTTTGTCATCCCAGAGAGCAAAACTAGATCTAATGGGTTCGGGCTAGATTTAGTCATATTTGGAGTAATGACAATGAAATAAATAGGACATTAGTCATGCCTAATTTAAGTCCCGCTGTTTTAGTGATTCTGCTCTAAATGTGATTAAATGGTGATGCAACCTGATGTGTAGACATTGCAGGTTTAGCTAAATATTTATGAGAAACACCTAACAGTTAAGAGGATGTGGCACAGGCATTCTTAAGAGGCAGGTTCTGCTTCTATTAAAGTCTTTAAGCCAGTCACCATCACTCCATCTTGAATATGCTTGAGGTCTGATTTTGGAAGTTAAGGAGGATCAGATCTGGTGAGTGCTTGGATAGGAATCCACCAGGGATCCCCAGGTAGGGCCAGAGAAGAATCCTGCCTGAAACCCCAGGGAGCCACTGTCTTTCTGAGTTGACCATATTAGGCTAGATGGGCCAAAGCCCAACTCAGTAGAAGGTAGCTATACTATATTTCATAATTGAATGACCATCTGTGAGGGATTCTGGAGGTGTATCTGGCATTTAGATCCCTGCATTGAGTAGGGAGTTGGACTAGAAGATTCCTTCCACATCTGTGATTCTATGAAATATCTGCTGCAACTCAAAAGGATACTATTATTTATCCTCATTGTCTTTTAGTTAGATAGAATCTATAATGAGAATTGGGGAACTGGAAACAAAATTTGCAGAACTTGCCCGGAGCTTTCTGATTACCAGAGACTATGACATCATCTGCCACTGCCTCCATTCCATCTCACTGCCTTAAGCTGTGCAGTTCCTTCTGAATTCAACTGCAAAGCCCATAGTAGCTGGGAGAAATATGATTATTCTAGCACCAGTAATTGTTGCAAGCCATTCTTGCTGTAACACAAAGTATTTGATAGGAGTTTGGTCTTCAGTCGGCCATTAAGAGCCAAGGGCTTACAACAGACCTCTTCATTTATTGCTCTGGTCTGATGCAGCATTTGGGGACTTTCTCTGAGGAGAAGGTGTCTGTGTGGACTGTTGAGATGATCACCAACTTTTCCAGATTTATCACTGCACCACCATTGAATAGGTAGAGATTTAACTGTCAATGCTAACAGCTTTTGAAAGACTTATCATCCATAGGTAAGACTGTATCTTCTGTGGTTGCACTGAGCATCGCTGGTTATAACTGAACTTTGCTGCACCCATATGGTAATTGAATTGTAGCTAGATAGAGGAAAAGTTGGGCTTCTCTTAATTTGCATGAAAGGTTACTGCCTTATTACCTGACTGCCCCAGTCCTACATTCAGCTATCTATCTAGAGTTGACCTGCAACCCTCATCAAATATATTCTTTCTGAGCATTCTCCCACTGTGATTCATCCAGTGGTAAATGAAAAAGAAACTTTTTCAGTCTTCAGAAATATGGAGTTTAAAAACAGCTTGTGAATTGTTGCCTGAGAACTGGGGAAGTCTTAGGTACAAGCATGGAGCGCACACGCTTCCAAAGGAGGATGAGAGGATTGGAACGAATATCTGCATGGGAATAAACAGGATGATTTTGCAGAGGGAATGAAGAGCTGTCTAGATGTGCAAGCCAAGTCTCTGGAGCAGATATGGGCAGAAGGTGGACCAACATCTGCAGCAGAGGTGTCAAACTCAATTTCATCTTGGGCCGAATTGTCATTATGGTTGCCCTCAAAGGGCTAGTTGTATCTGTAAGACTATATAAATGTATCTACTCTTTATTATCTTAGATATAATCCTCCTCATTTGATTATGACTGGTTTTAGTAATAACGTTAAGTAGTAACTAGCTCTGAAAGTAAAAGTCTTATGATCAAAGTCTAGAAATAATGGCAAGCAGATATTCAGGTGTACAACTATTGTACAATTTCTTGAAATTTAGCCTTAATCCTAACCATGACCCTACACCTTCGGACAAGGACTGTATTCATGGTGACAAATAACATCTCTGCAGTGAGCCCAGGACCTGTGGGTTCTTTAAATTTATTAGGTGCCTTGTTCTCCAGAGAGGGAGGGAAAGGTTTAGTTTGTTTCTCTGGATTGAACACCCTCAAGGAAGGACCAGCAGCTGTGGGAAGAGGGAAAGGTCCTCCGTGTTTAATGTTGCCAGACTGAACACCCTTAAAGAAGGACCAGCAGCCATGGGAAGGGGAAAGGTCCTCCGTGTTTAATGTTGCCACCCACCTGCAGGGTCCAGCTTCTGTCAGAGGCCAGCTGCAGAGTTCAGCCCCCTCCTTGCCTTGCCAAGTTGTATGTGTGTGCACGTGCGTGCCCATGTGTGATTTTTCTCCTTACCAAAAGCCAAGCAGCAAAACAATTTATACCGTGGCAACCAAGCAAGGTCTGAAACCCATTATTGCCAGCGCTTATCTTCAAAACAGAAGCCAGTTTATCCTGGCTGCTCCCCCACACATCTTTCCAGCAGACACATGCTGGTGGAGAGGGGAGCAGAAATTCGTTGGAATTTGGTAGAGGGATCCATCCATCCTCTTTCCCTACACCTGAATGCTTCCCTCCCAGGATCATGGAGTTATCTCAGCAGAACAAGAGGGGGCTTGGCAATCACCTGAGTGCTTTCCTCACAGGATCATGGAGTGATCTCAGCAGAACAAGAGGGGGCTTGGCAAAAGTGAGGGGGCTGGAAGGCAGCCTTCTGTGTCACTGTGGAATCTAAGCCCTCCTCTATAATTCATAAGGAGAAACTACCTATAATATTTTTATTATTCTTCTGTCGTTGAATCCAGATGGGGATTTAAGGCTGTTTTTGTCACTTTCCTGACTGCTTAGTCTCCTGAATGCTCAGAAATCAGGCTGAGTTAAGATGGCGATGCCATCAAACAGTCCTCGCCAGGAGCCTCAGGAACAGGATCGGGCAACAGTGAGGACTACATTTCCCAAGACACTGTACGCCACCCAAGTGGCTGCACTTTCTAATCGGGCAACAGTGAGGACTACATTTCCCGAGATGCTGTACTTTCTGACTCTTCACTGCTTGGAATGCTGGGATTAGAAGTCCCACTGGGTGGATTCCCAGCATCCTTGTGGAGCATTATGGGTGACCGAATAAGTGCCTGCATATTGTATTATACTGCACGCTAGCAGGCAACACTGTAAGGGCCACATGAAATGGCCCAGCGGGTCGGATTTGGCCCACGGACCTTGGGTTTGACACATGTGATCTACTGGAAGATTTCTGGTGGATTTTGCAGTAGTTTGGCAAATATCTTACATGTCAGATGGAAGCAGCAACTACACATCTCCTCCTACCCCTCTGAATTAGGTTCCTGAGGGGAAGAAAAGTGGGGAGCAAATTAGAAGTTTTTTTTATTTTTATTATTTGAAAGGACTCCTTGTGGTACTGATCACAGATTCCTGAGCTAAGTTGTGTACTTAAAGCTTCCCTTGCTAATTAATTATCCACAACAGGAAGCATGGAAGAAACTGGAAGCTAGTCTAGGAACAAATCAGTTTTAGGTAATGGCATTTAAATTAAACCACAAGCAAGCTTGTAGGGGAACATCTTCCTGGAAAGCCCCCTCTGGATTTGTGTCATCAAAGATAGCTTGAGCATATGGGTTCGGACAAGAACATTTAGTTCCTCTGTAAGAGCGACTTAGGTTGCAATTTCCAAGATGGGCTTCCATAATACTTAAATCACATGTACAAACATAGTGCATGAAAGAAAACTGAGTGTCTCTCCCCCTTAGGACACCTTGCAAAACCCTACAGTGAAAGGTTTCTTAAATGAGCAGCTGAGTTCTGAAGGTTTTACTGCCGAAGATGTCATCAATTTTCTCTTCAATGGGCCGCCAGAGGAAAGACCGGCACAGATGGCAAACTTTGATTGGAGGAATATCTTCAGTGTTACCAACCAGGTTATGCATATCCTTCACCAGTACCTGGAGGTAAGGCTGATATCAACATGAGAATGGGTACATTTCCTGCTATGTCACAACCATGATCTTGGCCATGATAGATCCCTTCTCCAACCCAGTCTGGTCTGAGTGGGCTGGACTACGACTCCTATTATTCCCAGCTAACATTTATTTTCTTTGGGGAAGGGGGTGCTAAGTAGGAGGGAAAAAAGATTACAGGTAGGAAAGCTTAAGACTTCCCTCCTGCCATATCTATCTGAATGCCTGGGAGACTGATTTAGATTAAAAACAGGAGGGGAGAGGAAGGAAAAAGGCAGAACTTGGGGAAAACTAATTTTTTGGACAAGAGCACCCAGAATCCCCCAGTGAGCATAGCCATACTTGGGGACTCTGGGAGTTTGGGGGGAAACAGTAACTTTCCCAAGCTGGGAGGAGGGAGACAAATGAAGGCTGTGTCCTTTGAGGCAGAGGGAGGGAGAATTAGCTGAATTTTAACTCTTTGTCATCTTCTTGTTCGTCTCCATCTGGAGACATGAGAGCATTCTGGCTACTGAGATTTTGAATGTGGCAGCTCTAAGCCATTATGTCCTAAATTTAAATCAGTCTGTAAGATTCTTTGAACAATGGATTTTTCTCCTTCCTCTATATATTTTCCTGTCCATCTTACTTTGAATGATCAGCTGTTAACAATTTGTAGTTTTGCTTCTTGTTACAAGACACAAGCATTTTGCATATTACAAGTTTTCTTGATCTCTGTGCATTCTTTTTTGTGCTTCTGCCATCTTCTCAATCCAAGAAATTCTTGGAAGACTGTGATAGAAGCATTTGAAAAGTGCATTTATGTCTTTTTTCTTGTAGCCCCCTCATAGCCTCTTGTTTTGAAATTGTGTAACTTCCCAGTTTCTCAGTACTTAATGAGACTACTTACAGTAAAGCTTTAGAGAATTTTTTAAATAATTGAGCATTGGTGGGTTTGATGACCGGGTATCTTTAACAGAACAAAAAATAGTGATGCAAAGGCAAAAGTTTTCCTTGGGACAAGATGAGAGGTGAAGAGAACAGTGGCTGGATGATTTCCCTGAGGAATTTAAGGAGTGCCTTGGCAAGGCTGAGTAATGGCCCCATATCTGTCTGACCTATGGCTATGGATGGGGCAGACTTCACATGAATGCTGGAAAAAGGCAAACTTTTCAACAGATAATGTGCATTATTATTATTATTACTACTACTACTACTACTACTACTACTACTACTACTACTACTACTACTACTACTACTACTACTACTACTACTACTACTACTACTACTACTACTACTACTACTACTACTACTACTACTACTACTACTACCTCCTGTTGGAAATACAGTGGAGAGTGGCAAAGATAAGCCACTTCTTCAATATCTCACATACTATGAAAGTCCTATGAGGGTCACCATATGTTGGGAGCAGCGAGGTGGCACACAGCCACCACCAAGTAACAGCACCTGCTGTCCTCCAGCTAAAAAAACAGCTGTGGTCAATTTGCTTGCCCAAAGATTCTTTGGCCTTTTGGTGTTGGAAATACAGTGGAGAGTGGCAAAGATAAGCCACTTCTTCAATATCTCACATACTATGAAAGTCCTATGAGGGTCACCATATGTTGGGAGCAGCGAGGTGGCACACAGCCACCACCAAGTAACAGCACCTGCTGTCCTCCAGCTAAAAAAACAGCTGTGGTCAATTTGCTTGCCCAAAGATTCTTTGGCCTTTTGGTTTTTGAGCAAATTGTCTGTGCCATTGTTCAGTAGAGTGTTAAATAGGCTTTCAAAAACTGCTAATCACATGGCACTTTTGTTAAAATGGGGGGGGGGGAATCAGAAAGTGCATTGAGCATGATCAGGCTGTCATGGTATGCCTAAAGTAACTCTTTAGCTCCTGCTACTACAGTTATAGGTCAGCTCTTTGTGATGTATAGTTTGGGTGGGGTATTCTGTTGTGGTCGGGATAGTATTTCTCCACTGAGGGACAAAACACAGGTTAGAGGAAGAGATTTTGATTTACATTGACATGCAGTGGAATAGCTAAACAATTCTTATCTCACTGAGAATCTACACCCATCTTTGGGTTAGAAAAAATATCTCAATGGAACCATTTATGGGACTTATCATTGTGTATAGTTTAAGCCTTAGTTTCTAAAGCTGAATTGCACTATCAGATATCTTCTTCTTCTTCCATATCTGCACTGTAAGAACATTAATAATTTAAGTACATATTGTTATTGTATCCATTAAAAATATGCCCTCCATATATCCTTCCAAAGGTCAAGGTATTTTCAAAATAGGAATGTATTCTCAAAAGCTTTCATGGCCGGGATCTGATGGTTGTTGTAGGTTTTTTGGGCTGTTTGGCCCTGTTCTGGAGGTTTTTCTTCCTAACATTTCGCCAGTCTCTGAGGCCAGCATCTTCAGAGGACAGGAGTTAGAACTTTATTTGTATGAAGAGGGTATTTTTCATTTCTTTCAGCATAATAGCAAACATTTCTCTAGAGGGCAAGGCTAAACAAAGCTAAACAAATAAGATTTTACATTTCACATAAGTCAGCCTGTTAAATAACAAGTTGTCTGTGAGGACTTTGATGTACAGTAATTGTTGGTTGCTGCCCAGCAAGAGATCATCAAGGAGATAAGATCAAACATGTTAGCTTTGTGGCCTTCTGTGAAATGAGGTAATTAAATAGATTTCTTCCCAGTCAGTTTACTGTCACCTCACTTGCCAAGATCAGAATGTGATAAGGCCTTCCTTATTTTTTTGATTTAGGAAACATCGGCTAGTTGGAAAAATATGAGTAGGTTTTCCTAGATTCCTAACCATGCTGTGTTTACCATTCACAATTGCTTTCTCTGTGGCTGTACACTGGAAGTTGATTAAATGTCAGATGAAGGCTATTCATTGCAGGAAATGTGTAGTAAAACAAGTCTTATGCCACAGGCAAAAACTCACCAAGTTAGATCCTGGCTTGGCTAGGAACTCATTGGGTGGATAAAAATCAATGCTTTAAAAAAAAAATTTAAATCACAATTTAATTTTTTTTAAAAAAATCAATTTTTCAAATTTGAATTGTCAAACAAAATCCATTTTAACTATAAATATAACTATAAATTGATTTGATTTATATCAGATCTACCCTGCTTGGTGGGCTTGGTGCACAGTCTATAGATCCTGTCACATCTGTAATATGCAAAAGCCGATCTGGGATAGATCTACTTTACAGAGCTGTTAGAATAACTGCCTGAAGGTTAATACTGTGTAGCAGAGTTTTGCCAGCCTCTTGTCATTCCCTGCTCGCTCACTGTGATTTAGTTTTGTTTCCGTCATTTCTCTGTATTCCATGTTCGAGACACAGTGAGCTTCGATCACACTTCACATTCTTACAAGATACGTATGCTTTCTGGGCATCCTTCCTGATTTGCACCTGTGAATGACCTAATTTTAGCTGCTTTTACAAGTTTAGGATTTTTGTATGCTTTTAGAAGGACAGGGCACTCGAAGATGGAGTTGATCAGAACTGTGTACCCATTTCTTTCGATGTCCCTTTCCACATGCCCCCATCCCTACTTCTCTCTCTGTTGATATTGTTTGATCTCCCAGCTCTGTGCTGATGGCAGTGAGTTCACAGTCATCCATCCTTCTGTTTATTTACTGAGATTAAGTCTTCAGCTTTGGTGTCCTTTGCATGTTACCTTGATGGTGAGTTCCTAATCAAGCCAGGACCTAATGACCTGTCTGCCAGTTGTTCTCCACAAATTACTCTGTTTAGTCTCTGAATCACTGGATGATATTTCCTTTAAAGTCTTAAATGTTGAATTCAATTATGGCCATTTTTGCTCTTCTTGTGATCACAGTTCTATGTGTAATTTCAGTGTTATAATAAGATTAGGAAGAGTCAGATTTAGGGGATTTGTACTTTACAAATGTAAGATAGTTTCAATTTAGAGTTGAGCAGGGGGTAATAATTTTTGCTGATGACACACAATTTTTTAGTTTCATTAGAGCAAAAAACAGTTCACGAGGTTCTTCAAAATGCCCTCTCCAAACTTGGGTAATGGACATTAAAAGATTGATTTTAGGCAAGTTTAAAGCAATACCAAACAAATCTGAGCTTCACGTGTCTGCTGTTGGGGTCTGGACTGACAGTGAAGGTCAAAAATGGAATTATAGGGCTTTGGTGGATAGTTCAATAAAGAGGTTAACCTATTTTGCAACCACCGTAAAAAAAGGCAAATTCCCTCTAGGGCATAATTTAAAAAAGGAATCAAGCTCACATTTATTTCAAACCACTAATGCACTAACGGCAACTTTTCCCTTGGTTCTTTTCACAGCAGCTGACTTGTGGGTTCACTAACTGAACCCTTGCTGAGGAGATTAGGAGAGAATGTGAAAATAATACCTCAACATTGTTGTAGGGTGGAAATAACGTCATTTAATCCTATTTCGGGCAAGTTTCAGTGTATAATGCCAATGTAGCTTTAGAGGAGGAGTGAGAACCTTCTACCCCAAGGGCTATTACACAGAACTCAGCCTTGTTTCTTGTGAACCTTAGCCCAGTTTGCAAACCCTGCCAAATTTGGCAGTGTCTCTGTCTTGGCTCTGGCTGTGTATGCTGCTGGATTGTGGGCCTTACCAACAGATTTCATGGTCAGCAGAGACCATGACAGAGGAAGGATTTCCTGCATGCCCAGTGGAATAAAAGCAAAAAAATGAAAGTGAGCCCGTTTTCCTTAGTGTTGCATAAATTGTACCAATGTAACAGTGGGTGCAGGGCTCAGATGCATATCTATATATTTACATATTTATATCTGTCTTGCTATCTTATTCTGACAGGTCTTGCGCCTCTATTACTACCTGCAGTGTTTGACACTTGATAAATTTGAAGGCCAAGCTGATGAAACGGAGGTGACAGATCGTGCTCTCTGCCTTCTGGAGGAAAACAAATTTTGGGCTGCTGTTGTCTTTCTTGATTTGGATCCAGCAGCCAGCCAGCTGCCGCCACATGTGAAATACAAGATTCGTATGGATATAGATGCAGTTGAGAAAACAAACAAGATAAAAGACAGGTGATGGTAGTCTTTCCTCTCGCGGTACAGTATATGGAAACAAGCAAGGCCCAAGTAGTGACTGGGGTATGGAACTGGGCCCAGAGGGATTAGAGCCAGAATAGAACTATGGCACTTTGGCAGCAAAGAAATAGCACCTTGGTGATGCTCACGGAGATGAAATCACTAGGAGCTAAATAACTGACATTCTGCTATTATTTTGTGAAGATCTTGGAAGCAATGGAGTTGTCAATAGCATGTGACTGTCAGGATGATGAGTGTATAAAGCCATTCTTTTTTTGTAAATAATGGGGAAAAGAGTACCATGATTATGTTTATGCATAATAATCAGTAACATCTACCTTGATTTTTCTCATGACATTTGGGGAGATTTTTCTTTCAGATTTTAGGCCGTTTTCTTAACATCAGCTGTTAAATGTTTTTCTAAAAAGCATTAAATGTTAATACTAACATCAGTGAGCTAACCTGGAGGTTTCTCATATGTTATATGAAAAATTTCTTTCTAAACATAACTATCCGATCTCTGCTGTAGTAGTTCCAAGTTCAAGTTTATTGTATTAGCTAAAAGCTGTCACAATTGTTTAAAATACAAATCTGAACAAATAAAATCATGATAACATCAAGGACATATAAAATAATAAAAGACACTTCATATCTGGGAGTCCCCTGCACAATTGATTGCGATGGCTTTCAGGAAATTAGCTTGAATATTTCTGGCCACTTTTGCAAACAGCGCTGTTCTGTATGTAACATAAGGGTTGTAATGATACCACAAACAGTGGTGTGGTGATGAAATTTGAAATATCAAGGCTGTAGTGGGGCTTAAATAATTATACTGTAGTCTCTCTATTCTCCACACAAGGGCCCTAATCCAGATCATGTTTTCCTATTCTGGCTATCAAGACTGATTCATGATGTTCTGTTACCCTAAGTACAGGACAAGGAGATGCCCTACCTCTTAAGGTAGAGAAAATACCTGGATGGGTACTAGAAACATCCTTCAATGCTACAGTGAAACAAGCCCTATTCAGACATTAGCATACCCAGTTTCATCAGCATATTTCGGAGTGCGTAGACCCAAAGTTTTGTCACTTTCTGCATGTGATGCTCAAAGAGTCTGATATGGACAGGTTGGTGTTTGTGTGTAAGCTCTACACACAAAGAACAGCCTTGGGAAATTTGATGATGGAGGAGGGACAGGGCTACATGCTCTATTCTAAAGGTGTTAACAAAACTGGAAGCAGACAAATTCAGCGGGTTTAGGATAGGCTATATGACAACTATGCACTTCTGAAGAGGCTCAAGAGGAATGGTTAGGGGACTGCCATTCTTGGCCCACAATAGCTGTTATTTGAGGCAGCTTGCCTCAGTCTTCCTAATGAAAGGGCTGTTTTTGTGAGCTATTTATTAAAAGAGAAATTATACTCAGGGCCAAACCCACATAATCACCATAATGCGCTATTTGGCCTGTAGAGTTCTGTTTATTGTAATTTTTATACTAGTCACATGCACAAGCATGTAGATACACACTCACACACTCACACATTTCACTCACCCATATAGGCTGACTGGGTGCTTTGCCTTCACAGGTATTGGGATCCCGGGCCAAGAGCTGACCCGGTGGATGACTTGCGTTACATCTGGGGAGGGTTTGCATACCTACAAGATATGATTGAGCATGGGATTATCAAGACCCAGACTGGAGTTGAAGTGCCTCCCGGGATTTACCTGCAACAAATGCCATATCCCTGCTTTGTAGATGATGTGTAAGTAAGATCAGCCCAAACGGTGTCGTTTGGATAACTAATTGGGTGGCTGGCTGGGTGGCACACTGGGTTTTATAGCAGGCTCAGCTCCTTTGCCTTTGATCTTGTTGAAAAGCTAGAGAAATCCTAGGATGAAAGTATTAAAATTCCTCCCACCCCAAGGAGTTGTGCTGTCTCGGTTAAGTCTGTGATAAGCAGTCAGGAACAGAAAACAAAGCCTTGTACTATTTTAATACCGAAACCAGAGAACAAAAAGGAAGACTTTAGATCTGACCTAACTTCCACTGAAAAACAACCATCTGTTGACTCATTCACAGCAGGAGAGTCCAGCAGAAGTTGCAGAATTTAGAGCAGCTTTTTAAAAAAGAAAAAATCCCCTGTGTGGAGAAAGTGCTGATTAAAATAACAAATAAATCACATCCACAATTCCTTTCGCATTTTATAAGAACTCCAAGAAAGGATAGATTTCTCTTCAGAAACTGTTCTGTGCTCCTACACGCAGTCAGTGCCTTTATCTGTATCTGGACAGCATTCAACATTGAGACCATATTGCTATATTTTCATCTCACATATCTATTTACACAGTGTAGGCACTTGAGCACCTGGGAAACCCACCCACCCCCCGCAGATCAGGAAGCCAGAGACTATACCTATGAAGCTGCTGGTGGTGTTCCACAGTTTTTGACCCGCAAGTCTCAAAGTGCCGACAGTAGTCAGAGTGGACAGCACCCGCTGCAAATAGTAGGCATTGCAGCCCAAACTGTCTAGTTTGGGAGAAGCTCACATGAAGAAGAGAAGTGTGTGTTCAAACGCATACTTGGATACGAAACTCTCTGGTTAGCCTCGGGCCAGTCTGTATCTTTCAGTTTCTCTTTTCTCACAAGGATGTCTTGAAAATAACCCTATTCAGTACTGTATGTTTGACAGGTGTGCTTTCTGTACATAAGGAGAGGGAATGTGCTGCCCCATCCCTCCCCACTCTCATCTGTTCATGCCTCTGTCACTCTCCTATACATAGTGGTTGACAGTTTGAAGAGGGGAGCTTCTGCTTTTCAAGGATGCTCCCTGCGTGGGTTCAAATCCTGATTTTTCAGTGTCCTGATTCATTGGTACAGTCTTCGGTTTCTTGTTCTTTGCTCAAGAGAGAGTGACCTCAGTGACGCTAAGGACCCTCCTCTGGCGTTCAGTTCACACACATCACAACAACTGAAAGGAGTTAATATGGGTACCAAAATGTATCAAATAATTGTTTCACAGTTGCACTAGAAGCCTTCTGGGATTCTGCTGTCTGTGACTATGGTATGGATCAGGATATGGGACAGAGAACAGAGTCATGGTTGCCCAAAATAAGAATTTGGTGAATCAGACCTTAACAGAAACCTACCATCTCTGTTTTCGTTCACTTTTTTTCAAATGTACTTCAAGTATAGCAGCCCTGACGTTACAGGCAGAATGAACTTTTCAGGTTACAGAATTAGGGATCAAGCAGGGGTCTAGCTGTCGCCAGAGGTTTCACATTCCTTTACTTTATCATCAATCAACCTCAACCCCAGGTCACCTCTTTACATACAAGGAAGAGATCAGCTTTAGCTGGTTTCATTCCATTGTGAGAGTGTCAAAGCTCTTTATAAAAGAGCTACATCGAGAGCGTAGGTTCAACATGTAAAGAGGAGAGATCCAACTTACCTCATTTTTCATAATTCCATGAGCAGAGTTGTTTCAAAGTTGTAGCTTCCCCCAAACTGTACCATGGTGTGTAGGCATTGGACAGCAGCCAGGCATTGTGATCTGGATATTGGTGAAGATGGCACCTTTGAAGAGAGGGAGCCCTACGGCCCAAGTATGATATTATGAAAGTATGAACTCCACTTACCAACTGTTTGCCTTCAAAATGAGGGTGAGGGTATTTAAATAGGAATTTATTAATTTTAACTAATTACCATGGTGGGCATAAAATTGGTGAGAGCCTTTTCATGTGTGCTGTATTTCCTACTTGGAGATAATCTCTGTTTGGGTAAAAGATCCTTTATGCTCATTCATACCACCACAGACAGAAGAATTCTTCTCAATTATTTATCATGTCTTGGTATGTTATAGCAAGAGAGATTCCCTAATCATTTTCACATCTACACTATTTCCCTATGTGAAAAACAGTTCCATGTATAAAACAACACTCCACCGATGAAGCAACTACAAACCATTCTCATACAGTTATAGTATATATATATATGTGAAAAACAGTTCCATGTATAAAACAACACTCCACCGATGAAGCAACTACAAACCATTCTCATACAGCTATCAAACCATTCTCATACAGCTCTCTAATTTGGATTATGCCCAAATTTATATATATATAAACTTGGGCATAATCTAAATTAGAGAGTACTATATTGACATGTAATGCTAGAAATGCTCTGGGACTGGAATGGTCAATTTTGCATTATTTTCCACTGATTACATAATGTATGGACACCTCATGTGGTGTAGTGGGTAGAGTAGTGGATTAGGACTATGGAGGCCAGGCTTTGAATTCCTTCTTCGTCATGGAAATTCACTGGGGGTAGAACTGGTAAAACCACTTCCTAATCATTTGACTTAATTGTTAGGGTCGCTGTAAATCAGTTCTAGCTTAAAGGCACAGAGCAACAGCACAACATGACGTAAAAGTCAATGTGAATCAACCTGGAGTCTCCCCCACCCAACCACAAATCTGTAGTTTTTTTCCTCTACTTCTGCTCTTTTAGAATCCAATGCTTTTGCATTGGTTCAGGCAGTGAGTTCACTTGAGCTGATGTGGATGGGATTTGTAGCCATTCTGCTTGAAGCCATTGCATCTGGTTACAGCAGCAGTGAGGGAAACGGCAGTGAAGAAACCATCAACCATTTGAATTGCCTTCTCTTCCTTCCTTCCTTCCTTCCTTCCTTCCTTCCTTCCTTCCTTCCTTCCTTCCTTCCTTCCTTCCTTCCTTCCTTCCACTTGCTGCCCTTGTGTGATGATAGCTGCATGACTGAAGAGAAAAGAGAGAGAGAGAGAGCAAGAAATCATGAAGGGAGAGAGAGAGAGAGAAATGAGGGAGGAAGCTTTGAGTCAGCCTGGACTTACTAAGGTAGCTTCCTGCAAATCCAGACAGCTGGAGCAGAACAACCTTAACAAGCTCGAAGCAAGGCTGATTGAAAATTTCCTCTTCCTCCTCTCTTTGCTGATTTCTTATTTCACCACCCCCACCACCACTACCACCCTCTGGTCACCTCATTGTCCCAGCACTAAGACAACAAGCATTTAAAAGGAAGGAAGGGAGGGAGGGGGAAACAAGGAGACCCATGCACTAGGTATAGAGAGGATAGGATTCGTACAGCAAGTGGAAGACAAGGCTGAGTGTCAATTTCTTCCCCTCTCCCTCTGCTGACTCCTGTGTGGTTGGCTGAAACAAATTGACCCAGAGAATCCCAACTTCCCCACAGTTCCACTTGCTTTTTTCCCATAGTACTGTATATATATTTTCTCCAAGACCACCTGGGTGGTGTACAGAGCTCTGTTTTCTAACACCTCACCTGCAGTCTCCATCTGCTGCCTGAAGCATCCACCTCACTTTACTTAACCTCTCATCATTTCAACTGGCAAAATGTATTCCTTCTCTGCCAAAAATGGCACAGCCACAGTTTATTCTTAAAAAAAACACCTACTTTTATTTCTTCATTTATACAGTAGAGATCATACTTAGAGGCTAGTGCAAGAAATCCTGAACCTCTGCCCTTCTACTCCCTGCCCTTTTGACGTCTCCCTTTTGTCTCTGGTTTATGCTGTTCTGCAATAATCTTACCTTTAGCTCCACTTGTGCCCCTCCCTGCTCCTTAGGACAGAAATAACAGTGAGTGATCATCCCATAAACACGGCAATGTGGGTTTATTTTTGTCTTCCTTTAATTGCTACCTTTCTCTGTGCTGATGTGATGGTATCAGCATGGAGACATCTAGACAGGGAGAAGTGGCAGACTCTGCCCCTGGTTAAGGCTTTTAAGAAGGGTAAGTCATTGTTCACAGGGCTCTGGCTATATTGCAGGTTGAGCCACAGAGTAAAATTGCTACCTATGAGTGAGGAGGATAGGGGGAGGAATGGTTCATTGCCCTTTGTAGGACAGTGAACAATTATATAGCATGTCTAAAACTGCTGGCGGGAAATAATCTCAAGATTAGACCACTGTAATGCGCTCTACGTGGGGCTGCCTTTGAGGTTGCTGCAGAAACTACAGGTGGTGCAGAATGCGGCGGCCAGACTACTCAGTGGAGTGAAAAAATTCCAACACATCTCGCCCACTCTGGCCGCATTGCATTGGCTGCCCATCCGTTTCCGCATCGACTTCAAAGTGTTGATGCTTACGTATAAAGCCCTAAACGGTTTAG